TTGGATGGGATCGTCGCGCGCCGGAGGTTACCAAGGATAATAAGAATCCTCCGGGTATTGGTAAGCTGAAAGATAAATCAAAAAGAAAGCGGCAGCATCTGGTCGGGAAATACCTGTAATAATTTTTAAAAAATCTGCCTTCATGCTTAACACGCTTAAAATGAAAATGTGGGTGAAGATTATTTGAGCTATAAAAAATGGGACTACAATAATAATAATAAAGTGATGCGTGTTAATAGCCGTTGGTTAGTAACTTGACGTATAGGTAGTAATTATTGTGTTTAGAAATATTAAAAGCAATTAATATTGTAGAAATGTTGATATTGGTATTAGTTTTGGTTTAAATTATAAAATCAAATAACGTTCATGCTAGTAAGTTGTCCATGAGTTGATTTTCAATTGCATTTGTATTAGTAGGCTAACTGAAAGAACAAAAGTATTACCGTGGAGAAGAATTCCAACTAGTGTTCCAGTTAGTTTGATACGGTTTATTTAGTTACGGGGAGATTTTCTCAACCTCATTTTTATTTGACCGTGATAGAATTTAGTAATACTACTAATACACATGAATGGTTATCAAAACAAAATTTAAATACGTAAGTGATAATTATATGAGTTTAGGACAGATAGCTAAGAACAAATCGTTAAACATGAGTGTATTCGTAAGAGACATGCTCTAGACTCAATGTTCTGAGTTGCCATAGTCTATTTATACATATTTATACCTGACGGCTGATGACGCATACAAGTTAGTTGCAAGTATGCAGTTTATCATAAGGCGGAATACGATTTAATTGAGATATAGTGGTTATAAGTTATTGAAATCAGCTTATGTGTTACATTACTAGGTGCTGCAAGATGTATTTGGCTAAATAAGTTTTTACAAGATGATTAATAGTGAGTGATGCTCATGTGATTATCAGGGAGAACATAAGTTGTAACCAAGGGGAGTACACTCCCAACTCATGTCTATGATAATGGCTTGAACCTTAGTCAGTGTTGGGGTAAATTCGACATTGATGTTTTCAGTTTGCAGGAGATTTGCTCGACTGCTTATACTGATTATTTGCATGCATGATTGTGTCGCTAAACCATCAATTAGACTGACAAGGTTTTGAGATATTTACTGAATGAGCAACAGATAGAGAAACATACTGTAATCATCTGTAGTGAATGAAGATAAAAGAAAAACAACACTAGTGATAATTATAAGTCAATTTGCTGACCGACTATGTTAATAGTTTCATTAATTTTATCAATCATATTACGTGATTGTCAAGTCATGACAATGCTTTATGACGATATCCTGAAACTATTACGTTTAACTAGTTATAGTGTTGATTAAGGATTAGTCAGTGGAAAAATAGGTATTGTTGCTTTAGGTGATTCGAAATTATCAGAAATTTATAACGTTAAGGAATCCGAGACGCCTAATTTAATTATAAATTTCAATTCAGAAATATTCGTTTAGTGTTAATTCTAGTAGGCTACGGAGTTTTGATTTTAAACGTTTGTTTAGCCAACAGCTACCTGGGGATTTAGTTATTTTACTAGTGCAGTTGATAGTACCTAAATTTTTAATCTTATTATCTAAACTATGTTCGCATTTTAGGCTGCTAATATGATAAACCAATCCATAAACCCAAATACGATTAGCAACAACGACTATGATGGGTTTATTGATAAATGTTAAAGGCGATCCAGATGATTTCTAAATTTAGAAGACATGGAGATATAGTGTAACGTATGTATGGGCCAGGTTAACATGCAGGTTGTTGACGTATAGGTCGATTTAAAAATAATGAACATGACCAGAAAATAATTTTAAATTTTAGACTGCTTGTGAAACTTCAGGCAGGAATATGATGCGTTATAAACATTCCATAAGAAGTTACTGCATTTAGCCTAGGGACACTTACAAATATATAGCAAAAGGAACCGGAAAACATATACATGTTAAGTAAAAAAAATCATTAAGTAAAATAGTTGAACTCGCCTGGATTATTTTTGAAAATAAGATTGTTCAGTGGACGACATATATAACGCCATTCGTGAGTAGTGATGATCCAAAAGTATCCAGAATAAAACATGCAGTATGGCAATTAATTCCAGGGTGCTTGATGCTGTTGATGTTTATGCCACTTTCTCGGATCAGAACAACCGAATGAATTCAGATAATTGTGTGGTCGCCATTGAACGAGCCATCTAAAGTGACCTTATGATACCAGGAAACTTATAGCTGAAACTCACCGTATGTTTTAGGAGAAGTGTCATCCTTGTAGTTTGGCAATGGAACTCGAGAATATGAAATTAGGCAGGCAGTGGTCGAAAGAAAAGATATTACAGGATAGTGCATAGTTTAAAACAGGATGAGGTGATAAGTGAAGGAGCACTAAGAATTAGATCCAGATAACTATTTAGTCCTTGAATGCATTGTTAGTCGATGAATATTTACGCTATTAACAGGTCATATTTGCTAGAGCTTGATGTTTAAACAAGTCTATATCGCTGAAGCAGGTAAATGCTACTATAGCTTGTTAACGAACCGTCAGAGCTAATTAGTTGATATAGGTGATCAACTTTTGTTATCGATTGAGCTAGTAAGTTATGTGAACTAATAGATATAACATTACGATAATATATGTGACCATTATTCAAAGGACTATTGGGATACTGCGTTTACAAAAATAAAAACCGATTGAGGTTAGGGTGGATATAAGAATTAACAATAATAGGTTGCGTTTCTTTAGATGGGCTCACCAATGTAGAATTATGGTCTACTATGATATTAGTACTGCTCTAATAATAGAACTAATCCTAAATTTGTAGATTTGTCATGATATAACTACCTAATCTATAAGACCTTACTTGGAAGTTACACCATCGACTACGCCAACTCACTGTATCGTATCAATTACCAATACATGATGTAGAACAAGGTTAGGCTAGAGAAGGAACAATATATTTAATATGAATAGAAGATATAAGGTAACATTTAGATGGACCACGTCTGCATGGCCGAGCCATGCCATCCGATCAAACCCAGTCCATTCAATTCATTGTTCGCGCCTTTTTTATTGTTAGGTATTTCTCCGCGTTAAATATTGAATATCTATTTTCTGAGTAGTCTCGTGTTCATAGCTTTGTGGACTGTGTGGCTATTGTCCAATGCTACTACAGGACATACAAGCAGCTGTGGATACAGCAGTGACATCTGTTAGTGACTTAAACCACAGAGTTACAAAGAACCAGTGGATTTCTTTCAAGGTCTGTCACACTGATGGATTCTCGCAAACTCGTCCCATCGGGTTCTGAACACGATGAAGAGCGAAAACAAATCAGATCTAGGTTAAGCAAAAGTCTAAGGAACGACCGTGAGCAGTGGTGGGCAACGAAAGCAAAAGAGATGGAAAAGGCGGCGGCTATATGGAACACAAGACAGCTTTACAGATTAATAAAAGAAACTGGAATTACTAAGTCAAATGTAAGTGAGAATATCTCGGAAAAAGACGACACTCATCTGCTCCCAGTCCAGACGTTTAGAAAGATCGGCGAAACACATTAAAAGCAGTTCAGTTGGCCTCCAGCTACTCTACAACTACCCATCATTCCCAGACAGTGTGAATGGAACATTGAAGTAGGTCCCCCAACTCTAGCATAAGTTCAAAAGGCTATAGCTAATCTGAAACGAGGAATGGCAGTTGGTCCAGATGGATTGGCTCTAGAGGTGTTTAAGGATGGTGGACCAATTTTAGCGATTAGGTTGACTAATATTTTGGCTAAGATCTGGGAGTTAGACGTTATTCCATCTGACTGGTCACAATCACTTATCGTCACAATATATAAGGTAGGGTTAAAATCATCCTGTGACAACCATAGAGGGATTAGTTTAACTAATATAGTATCTAAAGTACTAGCCTCGATAATTATTGGACGCCCAACTAAGACTCGTGAACTGCAGACACGAGAAAATCAGTCTGGCTTCAGACCTGGTCATGGATGCATAGACCACATATTCACCATTCGTCAGGTTCTAGAACACAGGCATACTTATCGGCGTCCGACAATGGTGGTCTTTCTTGACTTAAAAGCAGCAGTTGACTCCGTAGACCGCGACATTCTGTGGCAGTGCCTGTCATTGAAAGGCGTACCTCAGAAGTACGTAAACCTTGTGAGGGCTCTTTACCCGAACACCACTAGTCGAGTCAGAGCTGATGGCGACTTGTCATCTGCTTTTGCGTCCGTCAAGGCTGCCCACTTTCTCCATTTTTGTTTAACTTCATCACAGACCTACTGATGGAAATAACATTCACGTCGACTGAATTGTCGGGTATTGATCTCCTTCCAGGAGGTCCACTTGTCGACTTGGAATACGCAGGCAACATAGTCCTGTTTGGTGAAGACACTGATAAAATGAAGAGTCTTCTGGTGGCACTAAGCAACTATACCAGAATGTTTAGAATGAGCTTCTCTCGTTTTGCTTTTGCTAACTTACGTCATCTATGGTGAAGGCGAGATATCCGTCTATCAATAAAAGGACAAGTGTACTGCGCGGCAGTTCGTTCTGCTCTATTTTACGGCCACGAAACATGGCCATTAAGAGTAGAAGACACTCGTAAGCTACTAGTGTTTGACCACAGATGTCTTGCCCCCAAATGCCCTGGTATGGCCGAGAGTGGGGTGGGCCCGCCTCCCCTCTCGAAATGCTCTCACATGGCCACGCGTATACAGCCTCTGCCAGGGAAGTCCTACTCACTGCCTTCTCGTGACAGGGGTGTTGTTTGCGAAAATGAGAGGACGAAAAGCGAATGTCCGGCGCTTTAACCGGACCCCAAACCAAATCAATGTTGCACATGGGCTCCAGTATCCTGAGGGAACAAATGGCGTATGAACCAATCGTTGGCCACCGGCTACCATGGGACTGGATCTCCTCACGATGCTCCACTGCCTTGTGGGTTAGACCTTTAGGTCAAAGGCTTGGGGTGTGGCCCCCTAAGAAAACCACCTGCTTCGGTTTGGGCACCCGGGCAGTATCCCAGCCCTCACACAAGTCGAATGATTTGTGTGGCGCATATCTACTTGGTGCCTCCTTGTACTAATGTTTATATGTTTAAATAAATAAATAAGTAAACAGATGTCTTAGAAATATTGCTTGCATCTGCTGGTATCACCGGGTAAGTAACAGTGAGGTTAGATAGGGTATGGTAAATCAGTTGATGAGGTTGTGAGTCTTCATCGACTGAGATGGTTGGGCTACGTGTTGAGTGTGCCTGAACACCGATTACCACGACGTGCAATGCTAACGGGTGTTGGGGATGGTTGGAAGAAAGTTAGGGGTGGCCAAACCAAAACGTGGCATTAGTGCTTGAAGACACTAACATCTGGTCTGAGCCATGTTGGTAGATGCAGACTACTCAGTTAGGGTCCACGTGACTATCGTAACCAATGGTTGTAGACTCTTGGTGAGATGGCTCAGAATCGATCACAGTGGCGTCGGTGTATACACTGTCTGTCTTCCCTTAAACTAAGAGATTAAAATCGCTTCATATCTTCCTTTCTATGTACTAAATCTTTCTTCCTGTACTATATCCTTATATGCAATCTTTCATATATTGCCACTATTGACTTAACTACTCCTATGAATCCGGTGTTCATCTTGCTGTGCTAATGCGGTATGGCAACTTGGATTGATGCATATATGTGCCTGGTCCTACGTTGTAGCCGACTGACTGACTGATTGACTGATGTTATTGGTTCACACCAAAGTTTTTTTATACAGATGATACATGTATCTGTAACCTAATAAATTTAACTTAGTGTATTGTACGACTCTCTGGTTGGTTTTCGAGTTACACAGTTTTGTAAAATCTATTTTCTTTAGTTTTATAATTAACTGAAGGAAATGTTCCCATTTTATTCATTCTACGATCATTAGTTTACAGATGGTGTCTTACTTATTCTATTTAATGGGTCTTATTGATGGCTATTTTGTAGCATTTCATGCATATCATCCAACACCAACAACAGAAGAATTGTGTACATCAAATGTTAAACTAGCCTTTGAACTTATTCAAGCAGCTGGTATGGTTGAACCTCCAGCAAAACTTGAAGAAATTGTTGCAGGCGATAGCAGTGCTGTATTACGCGTGTTGTATGGCATCTATTCATATTGTGCACATATGGAGGATGAACAACGTCGGTATGAAATAAATAATATTCGGGAACAAGGTGAGATGGATGAATATTACGGTAATAACCAGAAACCTTCTGTACAACATGGTCTAATTAATTTATCGTGAAGTATATGTAACTGTGATAATATGTCTCTGCTGTTTTCTGTGATGTTAACATTTTAAAAATTACCGTGGAATAAAATGCGTTAACACTGGAGTGATTTACTTTTAATAAATAACAGATTATCGTTTGATGTTCTTTAGTTACTTTCTTTTTAGAAACAATAAACAATAAAATGAATTTGTATGTAAGTACTCCATTATATTATTTCTCTCTCTCTCTCTCACACACACACACACTCCTTTGCGAATCTACGCTCTGCAGTCTGACATTTTTTACACTAATAAACGTTCTGATGTCAGTTTTGTAGTTATCTACATTATTTTTTTTTGCGGTTAATTGTTTTACTTTCCTAAATATTGATGTTAGTTTGAATTTCTAGATACGATAATAAAAGCAATAACTTTGAAAAGATTCATTTATGATTATGTTCCTTTTGGTTAACTGATAGTGTAGTTTATTATTTTTCTCCGCGCTATGTAGTTTTATTGTATATTGTATAAGTTTTCTGCGCCCGTGGGTTTTATCTCACTGAATGTATTCATTACTACCAAATAGAATGGGGTTTTGTTTTTCTAGACGTTTATTTCTTGCTCTTATTACAACGTTTATGTTATATACCATTTCATTGGACAAATATATGAAATAATCATGCCTACATGTATACAAACGGAATATCTTAAAGAGATCAACTTTAGACAACAGTCATCTGTTAACATCGAAAAAGATTTGTCTTATAAAGAAAAAAATTGAAAGTTCAACATCAGAGAGTGATTTGAATTTCACAATAAGCATTCGTAAAAATAGTTTGTTCATTTACAAGTTCTATTCCCAATCCAGTTCATGATTCAAGTTACACTAAATATTTTATTCGCACAACAAATGTTTACATGGGCTTCTGATTATTATTTCATACTAACTTAAGCCCCATAACATTGTGCACTACATTGGCTTTTCGTGAAAACAATTAGGCAGCCATGTAAGTGATGCTCACTTCGAGGCAGCGTGGAATGATATTAGAAAAGCTGTGGAAACAGCAGTGGCATCTGCTTAACTTCGGGACTACTTCAGTGGTTCCAACATGCGCGGGTAGTGATTTCATGATAATTTTGACCAGATTATTGTAATGCAAACATAGTTTATATTCCAAGAAATCACCCTACACTAGTAATGCAGTACAGATCGAAACACTGAACAGCACACCTGTTTTTGTTTTTAACAAGCACTTGTGGGGAAGATGAATCAACTTGATGAAAATGAAATCGATAACAACAAGATTTCACCAACTATGAAATAACCAAGGTTGCACAGACTTCTAACACAAGTGACGACAACTACACACACACACACACTCAACTTTACTGGCAACTGTCGACCTAACCATTGAGATAAACAAGTTGCAAGGCAGTAGTATTCTGAGTTTAGATGTATAAGATATCGCCCAGATATTTTCGGATTACCATGTAGACCGTACGGAAGAATTAAGTTTCTGTTCAACATGACTATATTATATTATCTGCATGGTATCGGTTTTCGAGTAGTGTACCCACAACAAACATCAATGAAGTTGGCAACGCTACAGAATTTCTAAAACATTGTGAAACAGTTGTCAAAATAATAATATGGACTATACTATTGTGTCATTAAAAAGACTATGAATGTGGTAAATAAACATTTCCGTTGAATCTGAATACAGTACATTTTTAATATAAAATGAATATTTAATTATTAATGAAAAAGTATTACGATAGTTGTGGTTATAGTTTTGATGAATCATTCTGTTTAAAAATTAGGGGAAATACTGAAAGAATTTATGTTGTTCAATAGAAGAAGATTGGTGAAGATTACAGATTGTTTCTAATCATAATATAATATTTAGTAAACCAGATAACACTACATCAATCATGATGAAAACTTGATTTGCAGAGAAGTTGAAAAGATGTAAGAGTAAGGTGTATTTCTGAAGAGTATTGATATGATAGGGAAGGTCTTATATACGTTGTAGAGTTAAACACCTTCAAAATGGATTTACTCTACTCGCCTATAGTATTGAATTATACTTATTTTTCTGGCAATACTTTGTACATCAACGTGTTATTTTATTTTTTTTTAAAAATATCTCTTCTAGTGGGCAGTTGTCTTGGTTTTTGATATCAGCTTATTGAAGAGCTACATCAATATTTCGGTCACAGGAGTATCTATCACCTGGGTACATTTCATTTACATAACAAGTGAAAGTCACCGTATTATTCTCGTGAACATAATCACCACATATGTTTATGAATAATAGTTTTAATAGAGATCTGAAAATGAAAATGTTGTTGCTTAATATAATAGGGAACTTTCGAAACAACAAAATGACTGAACTGACGCATAACCTAGGACAGCAAGGCAACACTTTATATCAACGAAATTCGAAAGTGTGAAGTAAGTGTAAAAGTAATTATAAGGGCAGAACATTGCGGTGCAAGAAAGCGTTATCAATGAGAAATTATGAATGTGGAGTAAAAATAAAATACTTGCATTTGCAATGGGACCATCGGACATAAGCTTCTCAGTGCGGGCTTCAACAAGTTCATTGAATTCCTGGCGTTTGCGATTTGCCACCTCACCAGATGAAATCGATTTCCTGCCACGAACGCCTGACGATTTTGCATGTGTTTTTATACTTCTAGTGGAAGTTTTGGAATTCTTAGTTGAGGCAGCAACTCGTTGTAACTTTGGACCGTTTTCCGACTCCGCTGTACTAGTTGATAGACATGAAGGGATTAGAGGTAAAAATTAAATGTGATTTGAATTTAAAGCTCTTTAAATCTAGTAAATGAGAGTACAACCGAAAGCATAACTTGATTACTTGATTATTTAAACCACACAAATTCAAAACCAAACCGATGGCACTAGAAATATGTATGATAATGTTGATTGTCTCAGAATCCCCTCTTAGGTCTATAAGAGAATATGGCTAAGAGACATGATCCTTAAACCGAGACAGTATGACATTAGCTTGAACATGAAAATTGCTGTAGCTAGCTTTAAATCACTTAAATATACCATTCCGATAAAGTCAACTGACAAACTTACGCCTGTTGCTGTTCGTAAAATAGCAAAGACCTAGAGGAAGAAAGTTGAGATTAAAGAAAAGAAAACGAGAACAAACAATGATTGGTATGGAAACGAAAGAACATTCGGTGACCTCGAATGCTTTAACTAGAGAAGACGGTTGATAAATGAGCGTGAGCAGGGTCAGTGGAAAAAATAACAGTGTAAATAGATGTAGGATGAAGATGGATATGAGTGGGATAAATGGAGGTTAAAGTAAAAAAATTGTGCATTTCCTATCATTTTTCTTGTGGTCGAGTGGTCTAAGGCGTTGGATCTGTCCTGCAGTGTTAATGGGCGCCGGATCGAGTCCCAACCACATCAGAGTTGTTCACAATCACTCGACTCACAACATAACCAACAGGTGACACTCTGCACATTCTCACAGCGTTCCGTGTCACTTGAACACTTGGTGCAATGCACAACACCGACCAGTGGCACTGCCTTACCTAGTCCCACCCACATCATAGCTCTTCACAATCACTCGACTCACAACATAACCAACAGGTGACACTCTGCACATTCTCACAGCGTTCCGTGTCACTTGAACACTTGGTGCAATGCACAACACCGACCAGTGGCACTGCCTTACCTAGTCACATTCACAGACAACATGGTCTCACAGTATGCTACTACTGTGATATATGGTGATGAGTGATTCTGTGAGACGGTTAGTGAGTGAGTGAATGAGTGAGTGAGTGAGTGTGTGAGAATGAGATGGTTGCAATGAGGTGTTTTGACTGTGTGATCGATCTGATTCGATGTTGATAGTGCAAGTGGATGTGAATGTGGATGGGGATGTGCCTGTGCTGTGGAGATATGACTGACAAGCTTATTTTGTAAGTAGTTTTTAATAGTGTTTGTATTTGTTTGTCAATTTTTCACTGTATTTACATTTATCATTAAATGACTGTACATATTGTTTTAGTCTCGGTTTCACACACATCCTGATTCTAGGGGACTTTAATCTCCCTAGAGTCAACTTCGCGGAACACACGTACACTGGAGGCGACAACTCAACTGAAGCTCGGTTCTTCAACCTCATCGATAACTTGGGCTTATATGAAAATGTGAGGTCGGCAACTCGTTGGAGAAACAGTCAGACACCATCGCGCTTAGACTGTGTATTCACTAACGAAGAATTCCTAGTCGACAACCTCTCAATCCTGGCTCCTCTGGGAAAAAGCGATCATGCCGTCATAGCCTTCAGTTTTGTCATCAAAACTAAGCTAAGGTATCCCAACAATAATTTGCGATGGAATTTTAAACGGCTGAATGTGCGAGCTCTACATGACCATCTACAACAGGTGGCTTGGGATGTTCACCCTCAAATCGATGTGGATGGTCATTGGGACTTCTTGCTGCACACGCTCTTACGTGCTACAAACCATTCAGTTCCTCAAACGGTTCCCAAAAGCTTCAAGCCACCTACAGTAATCAAGAACCGTACCCTTCGCCTCCTAAGCCGCAAACGGCACTGTTGGGCGGAATACAAACGAACTAATAACGATGGAGCGTATAGGCAATACAAACATATCAGGAACACATGCACGAAGGCTATAAGAGAAGACAGGCTTCAGTACCAAACAAAGCTTATGGACAAATTCGCCTCTAACCCTAGAAGCCTATTCCGTTATGCAGCCTCTCTTCGTCAAGCCAAAACAGGAGTTTCTCAACTGCTAGGTCCTAACGGCCCGACCAACAACGATGGCGACGCCGCTAACCTTCTGGCGGCCCATTACTCTCAAACATTTCAACCGGCTGATATCAACTTTATTGACGACAGTTTCATCTGCAATTCCACAGGACTTTCTGAAGTGGACCTAAGCGCTGACTTGGTGTTCCGGAAACTGCAGCACTTAAGACTTGACACTTCTCCTGGCCCGGATATGGTTCATCCTGCCATACTGAGGGAGGCAGCCTCAATCCTGGCAACGCCGCTTAGCGTGATGTTTTCACACTCGCTTAGCCGAGGCAAACTACCGGAAAATTGGAAGTTGGCTCACATCACACCAATTTTCAAAGGTGGTCGACGCAATGAACCTTCAAGTTACCGGCCGGTAGCTCTTCTGTCGTTACCTTCAAAACTCATGGAGTCCCTGATATGCGACGGTTTAAATGACTACCTACTGTCCTTAAATTTCTTCTCACCCCAACAGCATGGTTTCAGGAAGGGTTACTCTTGTATAACCAACCTGCTGACTGCGGTGGACAGATGGACAAGCATCCTCGATCGCAAGGGAAAGGTTGATGTCATTTACCTTGATTTCTCAAAAGCTTTTGATAAGGTTAACCACTTGTGTCTTATCAACAAGCTCAAACGACTAGGTATCAAACCACCTCTAATCGACTGGCTTACTTCATACCTAAAAAATCGACACTTTAAGGTTAGGGTTAATTTCACTTTATCTCAAGCTATGGAATGTCCTAGTGGGGTCCCCCAGGGCTCAGTACTAGGGCCTCTTCTCTTCTTGATTTACATAAATGATCTTCCTCAACAGGTAACGTCAGACTTATTACTTTTTGCCGACGACGTGAAACTTTGGAGAGAGATACGCAACCAAGACGATATACAGGCTCTTCAAGAGGATCTGACTCGACTTCATAGTTGGGCAGACGATAACGGACTTACCTTTAACACTTCTAAGTGTAAAGTAGTCCATCTGCGACATGTCGCAAACTACAGTTACAACTTAGGAAACTCCTCTCTAGTAGTATCCCAAGTCGAAAAAGATTTAGGAGTCCTGGTGCCCCATGACTTAAAGTCTTACGCTAACTGTGACAAAAATGCCTTCCGAGCAAACCTTGCACTGGTAACGTTGAGGCGCATTTTTGGTCAGTTTGACGGAAGAACTTTCCACACAATCTTCAATAGTTTCATCCGTCCCCATTTAGAGTACGGAAACATAGTACTCCCCCCCTCACTCCAAAAGGATAAGGTCACTTTGGAGCGTATCCAACGGCGAGCCACGAAATCAGTTCGAGGACTCAAATCTAAGCCTTACGAAGAACGCCTCCGTTCACTAGACCTTTACCCACTAGAATATAGGCGTCTTAGAGGTGATTTATTAATGGCTTATAGTATTCTTAACACTTCTGGACATCCTCTTAAACACCTACTTAAGCTTAGTTCGAACAATAACCTAAGGGGTAACACCCAGAAACTGGAAACACAACATAGCAAGACGGAATGTAGACACAACTTCTACTCCTTAAGAGTTGTCAAAAGCTGGAATTCGCTGCCGGCCGAGCTAGTCCAAGCGACTTCTCAGGAGTCCTTCAAGAGGCAACTTGACCTATTCTTAAGGACCAAGGACAGCATCGCACTATGATTTACCAATTTCTTTTCCTCTTTTATTGTTAACATACCTAGGTTCCTGCCTGGAGGATTTGGTGATCCCCTGCTACTAGACACGGAAGCCTGTTAAGCGAAAGCTTCTTCTATTCCGTCCACAACCATTTGAACCATTTTGTGTAGCTATGTAATTTAATGTGTCAGTGTGCCAAAATGCCGCAGTTAGTGTAATGTTCTATATGTTGGTGTGAAGTTTATTTCGAATCAGCGATGTTTTCTGGGTTTTTGCTGCTTCTACTCAAGTCAATGTATTTATTCAGGCAATCTGGCTAGTCTTGTGTTATGAAATGTCGGCCGGCTTTCTTCGGTCTGTGTTTTTTCCGCTATTTCTTTTGTGTAGCTACAGAATTTAATGTTTCAGTGTGCTAAAATCCAAAAGTTAGTGTAATACTCTAAACGTTGGAGCAAAATTTTTCCTTATTTTGCTTTGTTTTCTGGGTTTTATCTGTTGCTACTGAAGTCACTGTATTTGTTCAGCTAAGCTGGCTAGTACTAACGTAAGACCTTACGTTTTTAAACGACGATCCGTTATGTTTTACCTTGTTTTCTAGATATCCAAAGCCGAAGTTCGTTTTTATTTAGCTAAAATAATTGTTGCTGCCGCCTGTGACTCTAACTGTTCACATGTTCGTTCCTAACTGTCCTTTATGATGTTATCGGCAAAATGAAAAGAAACAATACGCGTTTTTTAATTTTCTTCAGTATCATGGACAACACTATCCCACGAACGAGTCAAACTAATACAGAGTGCCCAGCATTAGGGTATATCGGTATTGATTTCGAAATAACCCAGACTTCCGACAACTATAGATAAAGTCCCAGATGCTACCAACCTATTGCAGAGGGTTTGTTATGAAAAATATGCCATATAACGGTAATAGAGGGGTTGTACTCATTACGCAGTGCGTTAAAGCAAGCTTAACATTGAAAAGCTGGAAATCTGCTAACAGTGTGTAGTGTATGTTTGCTGTTTTGGCCATAAAAGGAAGTCGAAGGGTCATGATCAGGGAGTAAAACGATAATTAACTGTTATTAAGCTCACTTTTTTATAGATCATATTTCACCACTCGCACATTTGTGTTTTTTTACGGTATGATGTCAGCTGGTACCTAATGTGTTCACCCTTACGATGAAAAGTACCTGTAAATTTTCACCTTCATATTCGAATTATTTTTGGACAACTCTCTTACAGTCTGAGTGCTTCGTACACCCCGAGAAACTCTATTTATACAACGTTCGTAGTTCCAGTATAACTTTCTCACGCAGTAAGTTCAAATTAGACACTAGTCTTTCTAAATAAGCCTGTTAAGCTAATATCCGTATTCTCTATTTCAGTTAATCGATGAAGACATGTACCACGTGCATCTGCTGTGTACTTCCATTTTACTCCAATTCTAACTGTTATATCTTACTTTTGAATAATAAAATTGCTATATGCAGCAAATACAGACTTATTTGTTTTGATGGAGGTAGGGGGGGTCATGCGATTTTCAGCAGGACCGTGTGAATATTCTCAATAAAAAGCTAAGCGAGTGCGTAAACCAGTGTAAGGTACCGTACGGGGTGTATTTGAGTTACTAGTGTTCCATTAGTGCGTGTAGGGGCATTGCTTGCTTGTCATATGGCATTTGAATAAGAAGCTATAAGATAAGGCGCAGGTACGGTTAGGATGTGTAACGCGTGTCCATCCATCAGCTGCCGTGACAACCCATGGTGGTTAGAATAAGCTATGAGAGGACCCGAGTCTGTAGGTCTCCCAAGAAAATGACGAAGATATGCACCAAATCACCTTATGAAGAGCGCATCCAATCACTTAACCTCTACTCATTAGAGTATAGACGTCTTAGAGGTGACCTAATGGCTAACAATACTGCTGGACATTCCCTAAAACACCTACTTAAGCTTAGTCCCAGAAACTAGAGACACAACATACCAGAACGGACTGTAGACGCGACTTCTAATCCTTAGGAGTTGTCAAATGCTGGAATCCGCTGCCCGCCAAGCAGGTCCAAGCGACTTCCCAGGAGTCCTTTAAGAGGCAACTGGATCTATTCTTAAGGATTAAGGATAGTATCATACTATGATTTACCAATTTCTCTTTCATCTTTTATTGTTAACATACCTAGGTTCCTGCCTTGAGGTTCTGGTGATCCCCTGTTACTAGACACGGAAGCCTGTTAAGCGAAAGCTCCTTCCATTCCGTCCACAACCATTTGAACACATGAACTAGGTGCTGAGAGGCTCGCTTATCACAAGTTTCTTGCAACGATTAAGTAGATAAAACAAAGTAGCATTAGATTCAAAAGTTTATTCAAGAACTTTCATTAAGAATCGAATATCAAACAAAGGTTTAAACCAAGTTCCCGTTTAAAAGTTGTATTGGTAATGTTAAGCTGCAGTTTTTGTTGTTTTTTTCCGAACGAAGGAGTAAAAGAAGTCAAAAAATACTGGAAGTGGTTGTGAGACTAAAATAGACGTCCAGGATCCTTTTTATAATCTGCTGTTCGTTGGGTCTCCCGTAAACAGTTCCATAGTTCCAAGGGCGAAACAGTTTTTAGGATGCGTGAAGGCTCACTCCTGTTGCATTCTAAATGAAAAAATAGTGATGAGTTTAGTCAGAAATGTGGAATAGATAAATAACCAAATTACATGTTTTTTAGCAAAGAATTTATGCAGTTGTGATTTACCTTGAGTTCATGAATATTAGATTAGGTCAGTTACTATTACTTGCGCAAAGCATAACATGGGCTTAGTACCGTATCTCAATGCTTTTATTATTTTGCTCCCACTTAAGTATTCCCATGCATCTGCGTCTGGTTTAACAGGAAAACATACAAGCACAGTAAGTGTCTGATAAACTAAAAGTCTCAGTTGTCAAAAAGATTTTTAACATTTGTCCACAGCCAGCTGCATTTAATTGAGACACAGAACACTCATCTTCTAAGACTGTATACTGCTGTTTTGCGGGCAACTAAAAGCTCAGACACTTAGCTATCTTGCTACCGATGTTATTGCTGGGGAAATTGTTTAATGACAGTGGTCATGAAATATGGTCAGTGATAGATGTACAGTTTGTAAATAAACACCAAACATACTTATCGCTATCTTATAATGTATGACAGCAACAGCATCAAAGGCACGTTTTTTCCTATTTTTAGTCAGACTGATCTGAATCCGTATACACAATAGAAACAGGCAACTCTACTAACTAAACTGATCTGTTTCGTTACAGGCTTCAAGCACTATACTTAAGTATATCATAATTCTTTCAACTAAACTGAATTATATGACAACCAAGAACACTAAACTAAACAAGTGTCATAGTTATTGTTTCATTTGCACAGACATGTTGCTCAAAGTAGTTAAATGTACAGAATTAGGCCGATAAAACCAAAACAGGAAATATAGGCCAGTTGAACTTACCTAAGAAAAAAAGAAGGATACATATATACTGCTTTCATGCTGAAGACAATAGGCAGTTGTTCATAGAAACATAGTTTACAGTACAACAAACCTTTCTTCAGTAAAATCATGCACTGACAGTCTATCTGGAAACAATCAGCTATGTGAATATACTCACTATGACTTGAGATATCATCCCAGCGTGCAATGGACGTACAGTGTAACGCAGTCGGACGTGGCGAATAAAAATTAAAAACAGAGCAAAATTAACTACATAATCTAGTTAGTTAATTAAAAATACATTATGAAATGACAAAATCTGTGGTTACTTGAACGCACAGATGACAGTGTGAGATACATTAAGTTTACATGGTTGCGTTGCGGATAAGATCACCCGATGAATTCTTAGAAATCTGATGTTTTGTTTTTCTACTTCACTGAGTGATTATTGACCTTGTGGTATGTGTCTAAAAGGCAGCGGTCATTTTCGTGTCTCTAAATAAAATGGATAAGATATTGCGTCTTGTCTCTCAAGTTAGTTTAACATAACTGTTGTATGTGTTAGAAGTGTTTCATGGGTTACTATTGTTTGTTTTATACAGTTATTTATTTGATGCAAAGAGTAAAGGTTGTTATGACAATGTATACACTTAACCTACCTTGATAGTACTGATTTACTATCCAGAGTGGTAATCACATTTGTTTTTGTGTACTTTAATATTCTTCCTTTTTTATGACTTACCATTAACCTGTCTAGTTGACCTTTTAATTTTCATATATAAATGTTCTTAACAAGTATATGTGTGATCAGATTGTTCGAAATGTGTTGCGCAAATATATCACATAATTCTGATAAACTACGTTTTCTCATTGCATTATCGAATTTTAGTATGGCCAAAAATGTACTCATTGATTGTCTGAAAATAAAACATGTGGTTGTAAATGTAATAAAGCCATACAGAATTATTTGCGTTGCCAGTTCTATTCGAGAGAACTGCTGAAAACGGGCAGAATATTTATTTCGCTCAATATTTTTTGAGCTAATCTTACGTGTTTCATATGCTTTCTTACGCATTACTTTTATAAGCCTAGAGTGAACTTCATTTAAGTGAAGTAAACACGGCTCCGAAAAATATAGTTGCTTTTCAGCACATTGTTCTAGACTTAAATATGTTATCTGTTTCCGCTAAGGCATCAAGGCTTGACGAACGTATTAAATTTCGCACGAACTTAAAATTTGGCCTTCCTGTTATTTACTCCTCGATTACAATATTCTTTGGCCGTCTCAGTTTTTCCATTCCAATCTTACATCGAGCGTTTTCGCAAGAATTATGTTAAATAACGTGATCTTTAAAGGTTTATTCTAATTGGATTAAATGTGTAGTACCTAATTGAGGCAAGTAAATAGATGGTAATAACTTTGCGGTGCTTTCAGTTAAAGTCATTTGAGACTGGAGGTTTGATTATTTGTGGGACGAGAATATCGTGACCGATGAATTTATAATTACACCATATCTACTTGTCACAAGTCAGTCATGGTGGCTGGTCCTATGTCGAGCCATGTAGCTTATTCCAGCTTCTAGGCAATTGGCAATTGTCCTAGGTAAAACAAACCTGGTTCATCGATCATCTAATACACTTATAGATGGATAATATGATGCAATACTCATTCTTGTGAAAGACGTAATGCTTTCAATATTTACGATTGTGACATGCTACTAAGTATCTTAGAATGGAGTAGGACAAAACGGTAAGGTTCATTAGCTAATGGTCATGTCGTTACTCATAAGGTAATTTTTGTTTGTACGAATCAAATAATTGCATCAAAATATATTTTATTGATAATCTACTAATAAACTTACCAAAACCTAGTTGAAAAAGGTCATTTTGAGTCCTAATAGGCTTCTCACATTTCGAACACTACAAATAGACTTTACCCTAAAATTATTGCTTTTAGAGGTTAGATTTCACTCTTCTAGTTGACGGGTTCACCACTTTTTTGAAATGTTCATTACCACTGATTTGGAGTTTATTTATGTCATGATTTAGTAGTTTCGTTACTATTTGTGGAGAGTATTTAGAAAGTTCATCACTTTCTAAACGCCTCTGAATAACAATACAAGCAGATTCAGGGTGTGTTTTTTCGCCACTAAATGCTAAGTTTTGCTTGAGGACAAATTTGTGTTAAAACGTAGATTTTGTATAGGTAGTGAAGTAGCATAGCAAACCAACCACTTATATACACAATTGTAGAACCTGGGGAGAATTTGTTGAAAAGAATATTCTTTGTACAAATATTAGTATTTTTATATGATGGGGATTTTTAAACACTTTCTTTAGTTTGAAAATCTCATAAACCCTGGAGGGTTGGTTTCTGAGGAAGCCTCAGAATGAATTCAGATAACTCTCTTGGTTTTCATCGACTTGCCTTATTAGTGGCGTAGGCGCGATATCCATTTTCCAACCAGTGAGAGTACACTGTACAGCAATCTGTTCTGTACCATAGCTGTGGTAGGGACCTATAAAAGTGTAAGACCGGTGTATGTTGGAAGTTTTTGACTGTAGGTGTTACTAATGCATTACTTGTGTACCTTGGAACAACCAATTGAACAGTACTGAAGTTAAACATAGGGCACCAAATGAGGATGGAAAACTATTAATAAGGCTGTGATATTTCGCTAACCAATGTAAATGTGACATAGGTTACGTGTATCTAACCGCCACCTACCTCAACATATATTCCTAGCTAGGCCAGAGGCTGTCAATGTTGACACAGTTTAGATTGACTCGTGATTTCGACTGTGAAAATAAATAATTGTTAAAAAGAAATTAAACAATTTTGGTTACATGCTGTCAATCATGTAAATTCAATGAAAGGAATATGGAACAATTTTTTAGACATAAATGTGGTTAATGATTGTATAGTACGTGATCTTTGAACAAAACGATATTTGTAAGTTTCAAAAATTCTTTCTGGGTGTATATTTCTATATATCTTTTTGAATGATTCCATAGAGTTGATCTTCAACCGAGAAATTTGAATTCTTTTGGATATTATATATCATTGATAAACTTGACAGATTTCATTCGATGTATGCAAAATTTGGTTTCAGTCAGTCATTAACAACGTAGAACTTCGTACGTACGTACATCAGTTCGAGTTGCCACACCACATTAGCACAGAGATGCAGTGGTCGATTCAAATCCCGTAGTGGTAGAGGTAGCAAGAGTATAAGCAGTAATCGGGAAAATTAGTGTTTGGAGATGTTACTTAATGAGTATAATACAGTGAAGTAAATTTGAGAGTAGAAAAAAAGAGACAAGGAGGAATAAGGAGATCAAAATTTGGGAGAACACAAAGAGTGGATGCACCTGCGCCATTGCAAACGATTTTGAGCCATGTCATTCAGGGTCTCTAACCATCGGTTGCTATCATCTCGCGGTCCCCAACCAGGTAGTCTACATCTACCAACATGTCTCAGTCCACTTGTCAATGACTTCATGGACTTGTGCCATGTTTTGGTCTGGCCGCCCCTAGCTTTCTTCCAACCTACTCCTATACCACTTAACATCGCACATCGAGGCAGTCGGTCGTTGGGCATACGTAACACGTTTAGGACTTATGAAGACTAATTGATTGACCTACATCCGAATTGACATCCACTGGAGGAAATCTTTAAAAACAAGACTAATTGTTCATTGCTTTCTAATTTTTCGATGGTTTCCTCTAATGTAGCAAAATTTCTGACGAGAATCAACTTTATTATAGGGTCTAATAAAATCGAAACTGGGATCCAGGTACATCTAGATGACGAATCCCAAATGAGTAGAAACCTCCGTCATAGATTCCATTGCTAGCCACAATTAATTTATTCTGTAAAAAACAATAGTTAATCTGCTCTTGTTCCAAGAAAGCAGGAAAAGCAATATCTATCGGGATTATTCAAATCATCCAAAGTATCCTGAATTAAAAATGTAAAGTAAAAATATTCCGTAATTCGCTGGTAAATTTATATCACCCATACTTCAAAAACCAAGGACATAACATAAATCTTCATAATATACCTTAATTAGCTCACATATATTTTTAAAAAACTCCGCCTGGAGTCCTTCCGGGGGCTACTGCCGGTCCCAAGCCCGGATAAAGGAGGAGGGTTGGGCATGGGGTTAGCGTCCCCATCCCGTAGAAAACTAACTCGCTAAAAAAACGCTAACCAGAAAAGATTATTCAAATCTTTTAAACTCTGCCCTGGGAGTCAGAAGGTCTTCATTTAGAAGAATTATGACGCCTCATGTTGAAAGCCGAATCCCTTCGGAAGTTACGAGGCCGATGCCCCTTCTGACAACCAGAGCGACCATTTATTTTTAATATTTTTAAAAACTGAAACCCAAATTTTCTGCTGTTGATGTTCTGGGTGTTTATTTCATATTCATTGTTTCCTCTTCTTCAACCATTTTAGCGTTCGAAAATACCGAATGGTATTGAAGAAGTTGAGAAGTCGGTCTCATCATTTCAACCGCTTACTTTATCTAAACAAACAAGTAATGTATGTTATTTACAGTTTTTAATATTATTTGTGAATAGTTCATTCCACCTGTTTTTTTTCTTAGAAATTTTCTAAATATATGCACACTTTTTACGGACAGGATGTGGTTATCTACAACGTTTTCTATGTTCAATAAGTGTATAGTGTCCAGCATTCATGGCCATTTCTCGTTAACTCATTGGTTAAATGTTGCATATTTCTGCATAATTTTCACTGGAGATTTCATTTCAAGAATCTCTAGTTGTTTACAGCTGTCTACTTGATAAAGACATCAACATAGTAAGGGTTAGTGTTTAATTTGAGATTCGTGATGAAAATCACACTAGTAGTAAAGCATTTACCCACTAAATATACGATTAAATAGTCGCAAAAGTTTGGTACGACTGGCGTGTTCAACGTTGAAAGAGTTACAGATGAGGGCAGTTGTACGCTAAGTAATGATTGTTTGAGGTAGTTTTTGAGTTAATAGTAACAGCGAAATAGATTACATAACTAAACATGATCTGCAAAATGTTTACATAAATATTAGTATAACCCACAAACCACCCTGATTGATCCGATATTTTTTAATATATGGATATAAATATTACTGTTTATTAAAGTTCAATGAAGATCTAGTTGAGAGCAATTTTCTTTGCTTATTAATGTCGTTCTAATTTATACAACGAGAAGTTCCAATATTTTAAAATTTCTGTTTAATTTTTAATTACAAGCTTAATTAATCGTAATCATGTTGCTTTTTTAAGCATGGGGATATTATATAATCCTATGATTAGCTAGTTCCAATGGGTTATTAGTGATGAATTCGATCAAGTTCGTTAAGATGTCCTGTGATTAATGAAATGGTAGAGCAGATAAGTAGTTTGGTTCGATAAATATCATCTTACGAATGCTATTTATGCTATCTGGTTGCCGGTAACTTGATGCGTGCATACAAGGTCACAACATCAGGAATATGTAGTAATGATATATTCTGATACTGTTATACGATTTACCATTCTTAACTAATTTTCAATTCATCAATTACAGTATTCCTCACTTTTGAATTGATCTTGTATGATCATTGTTTTTTACTTTATGGTGTGGTGCAATATGGTCTGTTTGCATATAAACCATATATGTCTGAAATATACGATTCATACAGCGGAGGCTGATATTTGCGTTTGTACTCAACGGTCTGAGCTAAGCAGGAAGTCGTTATACAGAGGAACACTATGGACTCAGAGCTGACTCAAGATTGTTGGTGCTAGTTGACGTGTAATTAGTTTAGTACGACGAAAAGGTCATAGAAGTTGGTATTCTGGTTGGTGGTTTTATCACTTGATATTTGGTGGGTCATAGGACATAACAAATGTAAAGAATCATACTCTTATTATTAGGATACCATACATTTCTATGGCTCTTTAAATCAACCATTCTTCTGTGTAAACTTACTTATTGTTCTTGAACATTTCTTAACGTTAGAAAACGACTAAATTAAAACTCAATGGCGCAGGCACTTTCACTCTTTTTCTTCCCCTGGGACCGGAGTCCCAAAGTCTTTTATCTTTTTTTCCTAGAATAAATCTTTACTACTACTGATGTTGTCACTACTCCTTCTACTTCGGGATTTGTTTTAAAATAATTTTATCTCCCATGTTAATGTAGTATGCTAACGTTACGTGTGACTGACTGATTTAAATGGATAGAATCGCAGGGCTTCCAACATGATTCCAAGTAAATATCATTTTCCAAAGTAAACTTTACCGAGAATCGACACTCGCTGATGAATCAGTAAAGGGATATCCAACCCCATTTTGGGACGCCTTAGCTGTGTCCACCCATGACATCACATAGGATTAAATCCTGTATATTTATTGACATTTTGTCACTCATTCTGCGATATTCTGAAAAATACTGAGTTGAAATTCGATGGTTAATGTTTTAAAATTTAATTAATTTTTGTAATATAAGGTAATGCCTTAGTCAGTGTTATGTACTGTCAAAACCTTCAGTTCTGACTTAACTGGCCTAAAAAGTAATGATTTCAACTGGAAATTTATAAAACGTACCACTTAGCTAATTACTAGTGCGTAATATTTATTTATTTGAACACATAAATATTTGTACAGGAGGGCAAGAAAAGTATTTTCCATAATTATCGACAGTTCATCATATTTATGTGTGGGCTGTGATACTGCCCGGGTGCCCAGACCGAAGCAGGTGGTTTTCTTAGGGGGCCACACCCCGAGCCTTTGGCCTGAAGGTCTGATCCACAAGGCAGTGGAGCATCGTGAGGAGATGCCGTCCCATGATAGCCGGTGACCAACGATTGGTTCATACGCCATTTGTTCCTTCAGGATACTGGAGCCCATGTGCACAATTGGTTGGGAATCCGGTTAAAGCGCCGGACATTCGCTTTTCGTCCTCTAATTTTCGTAAACAACACCCCCGACATGAGAAGGCAATGAGTAAGACTTCCCTGACAGAGGCTGTATACGCGTGGCCGTGTGAGAGCATTTCGAGGGGAAGGGGCGGGCCCACCCCACTCTCGGCCATACCAGGGCATTATGGAGCGAGAAAGACTAAGCGTCAAGGATATGGTACAGAACAACCAACTGAAAAAAGAAGGTATAAAGGAATACTAGAGAAGAATAAAAATTGACTGCATCTGTGCGATGATGACCGGTTCAGTGGATTCAAACTTAATCTTCAAGTGGAGAAAACGGTACAAACAAAGAGCTATCTTATCCTACTCTCTAACTTCCCATTAATGCAAAACCTAAGACCATACACTTTTAACTAGATTTCTCTTATTGTTATTCTCGTATCTTTTACATCAATTTATTTTTACAGAGCTCTGTCGATTCACCGAATCCAACTCGAGATCCACATGTCATGCAAGAGTTGATCAATAATGTTGAAGATGTTTATTATTCAATGACATTTGACTCTGGAAAATATGAAATTGAAGTAAGTTGTTCTGGTCGATCAAAATAAACTACTCAGTTAAGGTCATTTATAAATGCTCTGATAGTAAAACGGTATTATAAACTGGTTGGTTCTTCTTGATAGTTAAAGTGCTAAATATTTAGCCACTGGATAGTGTTTTCGAATCCTCTTCAGTTTCCTTCAGGCTAAGCCGTATGGTAGCTACAACACTACTAGTTCTCACACAGATAGCGCGGCTAAATATCTAGTATATGAAGCTGTATTTGTCAACTGAGTTACATTACTTGTGCTTATCTAAACGTATTTAGATTTTTGGAGGATCATATAGTTGATACTCTTAACAGCATGTAATAGATATAATCATTTTTCTAAAATATGTTTCTACAGACATTAAAATATGCTAAATATTTACTAAATTTGATATTGTATATCGTCTCACTCTCTTTCGAAATTTCTAATTTCTTCCTTGCTAAATGCCTATTAAACCAAACAAGTTAAATGGACACCGATTCTATGTCGGATAATAAACATCTTCCTACATTTTGCTTTCATATTGAGTCTAGTTCAAGTAATTATCAAATGAATGCGATTCTTGTTATCAGGACTTATCAAATCGATGACAAATTAAGATTATTTATACAATATTCGAAAATCATAAAGGATGGGGCAATTATTTTTTGAAGATTTTTATAGTTGGTATCATGAATTGACCTTAATCAGATAACTATTGAAAACCCTGAAGCAATAGACGACTGATTCGTTCTAATATGAGACTCCTTAGCAGTCGACATCCGTTATACTACCAGGGATTGAACCTGAAAACATTCTTCGGGTCTCTCGCGGCGAGTACTTAAGCATCAGGCCACTGAGTTATTTCTAAGTTCAGTCGGCTTACGATATTGTACAACCATCTTCAAATTACATTGATGGGTAACTGCTTCACATTTGACATAGCTGAACCATTACTAATCACTGATGTAAATGCACAAACACAAGAGTTCCATATCAGAACTAAACATCTGTCCAATACTTCCTGGTTTTCATCGGTTATCTAGCCAAAGCTGGTTATTTATGTTAACTATAAAATTCAACGATCTCCTCAGACTCCTTATACTAACAACTTTTTTCAAATCCTTATTTTAAATCTTAATGACTCCTGAATAACCTCTGTGTTATTCTATTTTACGGGGTTGGGTTTTCTTAACAGTATACTTTAATTGTATATATTTATCCCACAAAAAATGTCTCAGTTTCACACGACAGGATTTAAAAAATCTAAATTTTCATTTACGTAGATATTTACCAACTTCAGGTCACTGAAAATTGGACCAATACTACTCACGGTTGTGAACGGAATTAGTAATAATAATAATAATAATAATAATAATAATGAAAGAAATGATAACAATGATTATTTATTTCTGATCAATTTGTAATTCACATGGGGTTTTTTACTGAGCACTTTTTGAGCAATACTGCTTATACTGACCGGTGTTTTTGCAGTTACCGGTTCACTAGCATTGATCTACATGTAAATACTGTCCCCGTTGTAAAAGAAAACACTGACATCGATTCAGTTCACGATATGCATGAATTTGAAGTTCTATTTAGGTTAGTTTTTCATTAGTTAATGAAACCCTCAAATCTATTAATCAGTTGTCTAGTGTAGGCCACACTTTATTTGTAAATGAGTGTTATAATCTGGATCAGAAGCGAATTTGAACTAGATATCAACCGAACTGAGACTTGTATATTAATCTCATCTCCAATTGTTAATGATATGGAAATTTGATAAGTGAATGAGATTTTTAGTTGTTATAATGAGTGAATAGAATCCCAATTAATATATAAGATACATTAATACTATGTGGTTAAGTAATAGCTGATCATCAGACGGAATAACTGACGAAAGAACCCAGTTGAATTAATATTAAAGACACAAGATCACCAACTAGAAGATCAAAATTTTTTGTCTAAATAATAACATGATCACATGACATGCAACAAGATCAAATCGATTTTGTAGGTCATCCACTGTTTAATGAGTTAAGGATTCATCCATCAAGTCAGTAGGAGAGAAAAGCAGTGATACTTAGTGGTTGCTTAAACTGAGGTAGTCAAAGGAAGTTCGAAGCTGTAATTCAGTAATTGAAAGCTTGTTGCTTTAACTATCGAATCCCCGCCATTATTTAAAGTGGACTAAAAGAAAACCAACTATAGCTGATCTTTATCGTTTATTGAATTGATCATGAAAGCAGTAATGTAATCTCCATTGTTTTTATGAATTCTAGGTTACTTCTAATCCGAAATTATCTTTCCTTAGATAATAAAACTATGAAAGTAACTGTCATTTGTACTTAATTAGTGTTTAAAATAGCTGAACCTTATATGTTACGTATGTTTCGCTGAAGTCTAAGCTCCATATGTAATCTCTAGAAACCAATATAACTGAATAAATCATTTGGTTAAATAATGTACTAGTTAGTTTTTGAAAATTTGTTCAATACTATTAATAATTATTCTTTGAATCGCTATTAGGTCCCCTTGTTTAAATTAGAATAACACATGTATATTTATGCAAGCAATGTTGTTTCCAATTCTTGAGTTATGCCCAGTTTATTAATTACGATCTACTACAACCACAACCACGTTTTGGTTTGATCTTTTACAAATGCTATTTTCTATTTCTGGTGTGATGTGGTCTGCTTGGTTTGTATATAACCCAAGTATATTTGGAATATATGATTCATATCGCAGAGGCTGAGATTTGTGTTCTGAACTTGACAGGCAAGGATAGCGGAACAATCAAGACTCCAGGCTGTTTATTCGGGTCATTTGTTGGTCGTATAAGTCCGCGTATCTAAATTTGGCAGTCGTATTCACGGTAATCGTATATGGCAAGGACATAACAATTTACCTATTTAAGATTTGAAAGACTAGTAATATTGATAGTTATAATGTTGGTCGGAACGTTATAGTCTAAGGCAGAATGTTTACATTTCACATATTGAGCTCATTCAAGATAAATCTTTATTCTTACGTTTTTTATTAACCTGTCCTGTGCAAATTCGGATATACTGCTTTTGTTTTTGTCAAACATGTGCTCATTTCTCTCTCTCACTTCCTGGTTACAGTTACACTTCAATTTTCACTTTTCATTCATTGTTCTTCACCATCATACCTACAAAATTCATAACTTTGAATAAGTAATAAGGGCAACTATATATAAGAAGCATTGATTAATTCTTGACATTTTTATTGTTATTAAGATTGAGGAGTGGTAGCTCAGTGGTTAAGGCGTTATCGACTTTCAGACACTAAACCACAGGGTCAAATCCGACTTCACCTACTTCCTCAAGAACAATCTGGTAGTAGTGTCACTAGCCCTCATAATAAAAGTGTGATTTGAAGCTCAGTATCCGAATTTGTACTTGGTAAATAAGTTAACAGTAGAATAATAACTAATAATTATTAAGATTTATCTTATCCTTCTAAAGTAATGTTCAGAGTCAACTATTGAGTATACACAACTCTGTATTCAAAACTGATATGAATTAAAGAATTACTCGACATCAATTAAGATGTTGTGTGTGCTACTTATATCAACATAAGTAGTTAGTCGTGAACAGAAGGTTTGGCAGCAGAGAGACAAGAGGATGGAACAGTAAAGAATGGAAACAGGATGCAATTTGTATGGAAATGCAAGAACAATGAGGTCTGAGTCATTTTGAGACAATTGATGGACATTTTGTAAACTAAGCATTTACTATATGATTGTTAGATTTTATTAACAAGTTCTGTAATTTGTTGTCAAATACATTCGATTGTTCCCCACCCGCGTTCTTGTTCACTACAAAGAAAGATGCACCATTCAGTTTCGGGATTTATAATCCCGTATCTATATTTTTTATCTACACACTAAAGTCATACATTATAACCAAATATTCATTTTAACTGACACGACCAAATTTAAGCTAAGACTGGAATAATCTTAATTCATATTGTTCCAGGGTACCTGTTTCTTCTATTCTTAGCATAGAATCGAGTAAGAGAAAACAGTAAAGATTTATAGGTTTTTATACATAAATTATCAGACCTCAAGATACTCCAAACTAAGAATCAAACCTTACGTACAATCAAGTTATATATGAGAGAATGAAGCAAAATATGATTTGTTAATTTGATATAATTAAGGAATAATCCAAGGTGATAACAACAGTTAGTAGGTCCTACAAATGCTCATAATGAAAGAAATATAGAGATATAATCTAGATATTTAATAATTATACACTACAAATATAATTCTCCGCAAGAATAATTCAAGATATTCAGTATACACAGTAATGTATTTAAACGCGGTCGAACAGATCCTCACTTAATTTTAGCCAATTTAAACGTTTATATGTGATTTAAAAAACTAAAAGAGTTTTTCTGTAAATACACTAAAATCTTTTCATTTCATAGAATATTGCTGGACCAAATTGTCGTGAATTATCCAAATTAAAATTACGTCTTTTAGCGTTGGATCGTCAAAATAAAGCTGTATCTAGACGTGTTTCTGAATTGGTTCTAGAAAAGCATCCACAATATGAAGCGGAATTGAAAGGTGTTTTATCATTACAATCAGATAACTGGGAAACATTGTGCATGTGTCGAGAAATTAGAAAGTAAATGCCTTCTTTTTTAAACAAAGAATATGTATTAGTATTTCAGAAATTAGAGTTGTTTGTGATTCATTTCTTAACTTCTTATTAGGTGACTGAATGTAAGTGATACATATATTAGAGTCACCAATAGACGAGGAAGTAGAAACTGTTACAAATATATGCCAATCCAAAGTGTCACCATACTTTACATGAACACAGTAATAAAGCAAATTATCTAGAGAAAGTAAAGGAAGAGATGTACTACTGCCTACATTAATGCGAATTTAATGTTGTGACGTGTGGATTGCAGTATATGGATGAAGCAGCGTTTTATTGATCGATTCGGCGACAGAAAACACGTAATGAACGACCTAGAGTCCCGATTGGCCCTGCTTCGCTGTCTATCCCAGCCAGTTGAGTCCAGAACACAAGTCATAGCCTCTGAGATATGAATCGTTATATTTCAAACATACTCTGTTTATATACCAACCAAACAGACCACATCGTACCATAAAAATAGAAGACAACGCCTGTACAATATTTAACGAGTGAAATAAATAATGGCCAATAGGGAATGTCCATTTTAAGTCCAAGGACATCATTAGACTTAACATGATAATGATTGGTATATTCCTCTGCATCCCTAACATTTAAACATATGAACTCTGGTTCTAAAGAAACGAATAAGATAAAAGAACGAACGGTTTAACTTAATATTAAGCTCCAAACTTAAAGGACGATGAAGAATATAAGTTCAACTGTACTGGTGCTACGGATTTTGAATGACGTAATCTGTCGTCTCTAACTACAGATTATATTTTTTGTTCTGGATCTCACACTTCCAGTACAAATCTATCAACGTGATTCAGTCCAACAGCCAATGGCTACATTCACTGATATCATGTCTTCATTTTGGCCACTTCATAAATAAACTATCCACTAAGTCATTACAGAAAGGTAGCTCATAATTACATGGTAGTAGTAATATATGTAGCCATAATCCGTTCACCAGTTTTTAAAAAATAAGTTTCATTCAACGAAGTTCTTGAAATAGGTTTACATCCTGTTATTCCATAACTTAAATGGTAACCAATTTAGCTTTGTCCTATTATTGTCTGATTGCCTCCAACCATTCAGTGTTATATTTAACACGTAACCATTATAATTTAATGGCTACTTCTCAGAATTAACCGATTAAATTTAATCAACGCTGAAAGCTTTATTGCTTAAGTGATAACATCACAGTTAACTGTAGAATATTCCTAATCTTTATACTCAGAATAAAAAAATAACTTTCACCATTTAAATCGCGAACTGATCTTAGTTAGAGCATCATTGAAATTCTGGAATCACGTTTTAGTATGAAACTCTTCACCAGTGCACATCCACAACCGCGTGTCCGGGATTCGAACTCAAACCTTCGGTCTCGCGCGTAAACACCTAACTTTATGACCAATTAGCTGGGATCCAACGATGTTAATATTTACTTTCAGTCAATTCAAAATATTACCCAGCCCTCATCTATTACCTGTGATGGATAACTTCCTCTTACCCGACATAACTAGATCCCACTAGGCATGGTTTTTTACTAGAACTTCAGGAGCTGCATCTTGAAATTAGCCATTAGTGGGCACAATAACTGTCATATAACCTAACTCAATTAGTTGAATATTAAGTGGCTTCAGTACTTTACCTGGAGTTTTCACCATAAATGTAAGTCCTTAATGACAATTGGGATATGGATTCATGCACATCTCTAATTTTGTAGACTAATGATTTCGGAACAATTATAGTGAATTAGGCGTGTGTTAAGATCAAATCAGTAAAATATTAAGTAATAATCCTGATTAGTTCTTTCATAACTGTTAAAGCTATTTGATCATTAGGATTAGTTAATCATTAACTATGATAGTGATAAGATGATAACGGGGTTACTCAATTTTCGTTAATAAAGTTAAAATGTTACTAGTAACAACGATAAGCACGAGTGCCGTTTCTCTTATCTAATTTTTCTCATAACCTTTGGATTTTACCGATTCGTTGTCACACTACATGCAGTTCACTAATTTTCCATATGCTTCAAAGTCATGCCTTCGTTACTACACATACTGAGTTGCATCATTTCAGGTTGTTCTGCTTGTATACCAAGTTTTTCCTACATTTTATTTTCTTCCTGTGTTAGTGCGACTAATTTTTGAAGTATAATGTCAGGGATTGATTGGAATTAGATAATAACACCGCTGGATATCGTTTTAATGGTTTAAAGGTTAAGTGTTTGTGCGCAAGATCAAAGACCCTCTGTTCAGTTCCAGGTTGCGGATTCATAGATGTGCACCACTGAGTCATCTCATACTAGAACGAAACGCCCATCGAGTGCTTCCAGACTTTCAATGGTGGTCTAACTTATATCGGCTCACAATTTCAATGAAATTGTTGAGGTGTTGTGCCCTGTCAACTCTCACTATCGAGCTCACAATAATACCGTTTGTATATTAGACTGGCTTAATCGTTTGCAGGTCAAATATAGGTGTTTTTATCAAAATGAAGCAGAAATTAGGCAAGGACGATAATTCTGGTCACTAGTAAACAGAAAAATGTATTTTGATATTAAATACTTTCAATTAATTGATGAAACATATCATGAATTGTTTTGATACTTTTGTTTACTTGTTTATCTTTGATTCTAGTATTCTTTCTCTTTTCATTTTATGATAGCTCATTAAAACAAGCTGACAAAACATTGGTCTTATCACGATTAATTGTTTTACGTAATCACCGTAGACAATTAAGGCTGAAACAAGCACTAAACATTTTATTTCGATTGCGTAATCTACAAAATAATGTTTACCGGCTTGATACACTCATTAAAGTAGGATTTGTAATCGTATTTCTATTTTAATGTTTAATGTTTTCCAACACGTTTATTACTATTATTTTATTATTATTATTATAATTATTAATATAGAAGTAGTAGTGTGCTGTGTCTTCTTGTGAAGCGATTTGTACTCTCAGATCCCAACTTTTGGGTTGTCGGTTCGAGCATCACTTAACCCATTTCAATTTAGGAAGCTAACTAATTATCATTAGTTCTCAAAGTTAGACAGACAGTGTTAGATTTCGTCCATTAATCATATCAATTACGTATTCGTTTATGTTGAATAGTCCAAAACTAAGTCTCTAGAAGCCCAGAAAACGTTTTTTGTATCCAATTTGCATTGAATAGGAACTTCTCAGAAATATCTAAAAAAATGAAGAATTACCTGTTATATTTTTGTTTAGTTAATTGCCCAAACTGTTACCATATTAAGTGTGTTGCCAAGATGTTTCAGAAGACGGAGGTTACACAACTCGATTAATACCCTCAATTTTCTGTGCTTACATTAATCTCAGAGTAAAGGTCTTACGTTTCGCGCCTTTTCTCTCCTTGTCTTAGTTAAAGTTTAGAAGTAGTTGGGTTATAGAGAGCGGCAAATATATATATATATATATATATATATATATATATATATATATAATGAGTATATCCAAACATCAGTTTGATTTATTATTTTTGGTCAAATAAATCTTCATATATTGTCTTTGTATCCTTACACCATCCGTTTCACGGGTTATAGTAGTTTGTCATTACTACAACTATCAACTTATTTAGAGGATGTAATAAATCTTCTGAGGATATTTTGGAAGTTTCAGCGGTTTTCCCATTTTCAATTATCAGCAGTAGTTCACGTGATTATAACAGTTCCAAATGTTTCAATGATCTGTTTGGTTCATATATTTTGTTTGCCTAAATTAGTCTTGAAATAAAAGTTTATTCATATTACCACCCTTTTGAATTTACTTAAAATTCAAAAGTTATCAATTGATAGGAGTGTCTACATGATCAATTAAAACCGTTATTGTAAGCATTGGATGCTCAAGTCCAACCAATAGTTGGTCTTTATCTTCAAAAATGTTTTTTTCTGTAGAAGTAATAATATCCATCTGATACCAAAACTTATCTTATTTTTAAAATTTAACGTTATTTGGAAACATTTCTCTTCATTTACAAAGTATTGAAAAAATCTGATGTAACATCCTTGGTATGAAAAACGGATTAATTTTATATATCATTATGAAGTTTTTGTGGAGATTACTAAATGTTGTTGATATCACGAACCAACCTAAATTAGACTTTCATTGAAAACCAGGAAGCTCTGGACAGTTGGTTCGTCCTAGTATTCAACTCTGTAAAAGGTCAAACGTACCGGGTATGAGGCAATTACCCACCGAAAACAATGAATTATGGTTGCAATTGATTGAAGTTAGACATTATCGTCTTTATATATCGACTCAGTGTTCCAGTGGTTAGCCGTTCAAGAGCGAGACCGAAGGTCTTGAGTCGCTCACTGCTGAAAACTCGTACAAATATCTAGTGCTTCTTGGTTTTCATTGTATATCTAGCGTAGGTTGGTTCGCAATATCAATAACAACTGCATGGATGTTTGTTTTATCATGTTGCAAAACTCTTGAAAGTAATTTTGATTAGAAAAATGGATTATTGTGATGCGCTTCATTTGATTCACTGAAGTTCTATTAGTCAATTAACTTCCGTTATTTAATCAGTAAAATACCATTTAACCTTATACAACGTAATAGTTATCTTGATCGGAAACGATGATACATCTTAGCATTGGTTGTTTTTGGAGATTTACATCATGTCTGTTTTTAGTTATGGAGTCACTGAGAACCAAGCAGCACTGAACAACTGTTTTGCTCTTGTGTAGAATTCTTCGACAGTGCATGCCAGAGGTCTCATAACAGAGGATCAAATCAAGAATTCAATGGTTCATATATAAAGTGGTTGTTATGGGCCCTGATCGTTTTGGGCTTCAATTTCTGGTGGGGTCGTTAGCATGTAATACTTAATAGTCCCAAACTTATGATTAGGCTGTGTCATTTTATTCCTTAGAAACTCATTTGTTCTATTTGTTTTTTTATAGCAAGGTGACTTTTATGATGCTATTCAACTACATCGTGAAAGTCTTGTCCTTTTAGAAGATTTCCGTTCATACCGGTGTATTGAGTAAGTTGTAGAATTAGATTTTTCACAATGTATATGTATAACATCATGAATGTTTCCTATATCTCAGTTATGCTCAGTTTGTGGTGACTAGAATGTATTGAATAACTAGTCGTATTTAGAAAATGCTGGATGAGTTTTTGTTATTAAGATTTATAGATATCAGTCAGTCAGTAACAACATAGAACTTCGTACGTACGTACATCAGTTCGAGTTGCCACACCACATTAGCACAGAGATGCAGTGATCGATTCAAATCCCGTAGTGTTAGAGGTAATAAGAGTATAAGCAGTAATCGGGAAAATTAGTGTTTGGAGATGTTGCTTAAAGAGTATAATACAGTGAAGTAAATTCGAGAGTAGAAAAAAAAGAGACAAGGAGGAATAAGGAGATCAAAATTTGGGAGAACACAAAGAGTGGATGCACCTGCGCCATTGCAAACGATTTTGAGCCATGTCATTCAGGGTCTCTAACCATCGGTTGCTATCATCTCGCGGTCCCCAACCAGGTAGTCTACACCTACCGACATGGCTCAGACCACTTGTCAGTGACTTCATGGACTTGTGCCATGTTTTGGTCTGGCCGCCCCTAGCTTTCTTACTAAAATACCATTATATACAATGATATATCACTCACTTGACTTCAGACGTATATTTGTAGTGCACTTGACTTTGTACTGTAGGCAGGTAAGCACTTTTTTAATTTGGATACAATGAATTTGAAAACTAGTTAACGATTGAATTCTCATCTTATGAGAAGTAAATTGTTCAACACAAAGTCCACAGTTTGTTTTCACAGCTCTGATACAATTTTATGACGTTTGTTTATTTGGAAATCCAATGTGGAATAACAAATTATCCATTTTCCTATGATTTTATTGATTGTTCCATTTCTCGCTCTAGTATAAAAGAGAACCCTTTTAGAACCAGTAAAATTCACAAAGCCGCTAATTGTGTAAATGGTTTTGAAAAAAATTTTGTTTTCTAAATAAAAAGCAAACCTATGTAAACATAGAATGGAACATTGTATTTCATGTATGAAGTTTATTGAGAACATAAATAAATAAAAATCGGTCTAACCTCATTGCAAATAGTTTTTATCACATTAGTAACAGCTTAATTGTTTATTTATTGCCATTCAAGGCAGTACAGTTCATAAATATAGTTGAATGGTATACTGTTGCATTATATGTCTAAACTGAACAACTTATATAACATGAAATAATTCAAATGCCACTATTCGATGGTTTATATTTATATTTTTGGATAGTGGCTAAGAGTAAAAATCCAGTCAAGCATTTTGTCCCTTTTTGGTCTCATCAACTACATATATTCTCACTTCAGGGTTTAAATATTTCGCTAGCCACTATTGAAGAATACAATGAGAATTTTTGACCGTCAATATATTGAGGAGAATTCCTCACTTCTGTATACTCACTTATTAAAATCACTTATTTATCAACTCCAATATTAACAAATTCGCTTATGTCAAGTAACACTAGTGACCTTCTCTGTATCTGTCTTGTCGATTAAGTATACTGACGCCGCTTCATGTAGTATATCCTTATATACAATCTTTCTTTTATATATTACCACCATTGAATTAACCACTTCTATGAATTTGGTGTTCATCTGGTTGTGTTAATGATGTATAGCAACTTGGACCAATGCATATATGTGTCTGGTCTTACATTTTAGCTGATTGACTGACGAACTGATACTGACGCTGATTGGCCTGCGAGACTTCTGTCCTCAACGTGCACGACTAGAAAACGATAAAACCAAGTCGATTCAATTTGTATATTTTATTACTCACAACTCGAATGATAATATATGTGGATTAGATGACCAGAATCCATTGATAATAACAAAGGACAGTCTGTAAATAGCTAGACAATTTGTAGTAGAAAACTGAGTAATGGGTTAATAAACAATTAAGTGTAATTGAGGGACAGTATGACGTATATAAATAGATATTGAGTCAAATAAAAGCTTACAATTAGTTCAATATAAAAATATATTTAGTAAATACACATATGTAATCAACCGTAGAATAGCCTTCACAGTTTCATGTATTCCACCTATTCATCCATAACTAACAAGAGACATCACTTTTGGACATTCCATACATTAACAAAGACTGATCGAATGCAGTTCTAAATATTAAGAACTAAGGGATTCTTTCAAATAATGATATAAGTTTCCATTACTGTACCAAATTGCAATACACATTTCATCTACTGTCCGATTTTAATTCTTGTTAAGTGCTAATAAGACCAAGGCCTTTTTGATCAAACGGAGTGTTTCTCCCTAAAAGTCAACCACTATATCAAGTTCGTTAAATAGTGAACAACAAGTATGTAGAAGTTAATTAATATTTTGTAAAGTGTGTTATAGAAATAGTTCTCGGAATTCAATTCCTAATCTGTATACAGATTACATCGTTAGTTTTGAATTTCTCAAATATATTTAGTGAAATTAGGATGTGATTAGTCAGTAAGTTTAAACTAATAGACATTCAACTCACTAGCTATTTAATGTGTGATTTCCTTCCAGCTAGTGTTTCCTACTCTGAACTCACTGAGTGTAGACTGCTTGTAATTGTGTTGAATAAATTACTGTTCAATCGTTACTCTGATTCTCTTATTCTGGTCTTAAATCGTGCATCTGTTATAACGTGATCCAATATGTGTCTAGTGTATCGGTCGAGTATTTAGTCTACTGCTAATATTCCCAACTCAGTCACTGGTCATGTAATCATATAATAGTAGTAAACATTGACAAACGTAAATAATTTTATTTTGCCGTCATACCAATATCTAATATTTGATAAATATCAAGCTTCATTTCCACAAACCTTCTTAATTCCTTTATATTTATCACTGTCTTTTGTTGTTATCTCTGTTTCTCAAAGATCCATACATAGCAAGTTGAAAGCATCAGAATTACGTATTGATGAGAAATTAGATTCAGAATTACAAAGAAGCTGTGAACATTTTGACGAGAAATCATACTCAACTGTTCAGCGTGCATTTGAGTAAGTCATGTATACGTGTACTTTCAGTATTAGAGAAAGACATTACAACAATGCTATTTCGCATCGTGGCACTGAACTCTTGTAAGATTCAGAGAGAATATTAGGAGATAATGGTTGTTTACCACTCCATGATCTGCTAGTATAAATATGTCAGTCCTACGAAAATGTCGGTTACTACTCAAGTTCTTCAGTGCTAATAGTTGTAATATTAGATCCTTTCAAGATTGCAGACGCTGTTCCGTCCCGTAATCGTCCGATTCAGTTAGGCACGCCTCATATACACTTTCCCTACCACCGACGCAAGTGAGAAGAATGAGACATAATTAAGAAGCTTAAATTGACTAACTAAATAACTGAGTATACAAATCATGAGTATATATACATCCGTCCTTTTGATTCAGATAAGGATATGTAGGTAAGACCTTGACTAGACACATATCCGAGTTCTTTCAGTATCTTGTCCCGTTTATAGTTTTGTCACCTACTGTTTTGCCTAAGGATTTCAATTCATGTAACTGTAGCTTCCTTACGTCACTAGATCACCAAAACGTAGTAGATTTTTCTACTCGTTTGGATGCTCATTTGGACTTCGTTTTCATTGATGATGTGGGTACATATATGACTCGTAAACGTGCTCCATTGTCTAGCTCAGATCACTGTATAGTTTGTGTTCTACCTACAGTATATGGAAAGCATGATAAGAGTACACTCTTACATCAGACCAAGAAAGTCAAATATAAGAATTACCCAGAAGAAAATATTCAAAATCTGAAAAACATGTTTCGTACGACTAACTGGAAATTATTTACAGATGACTCATTGGAAAACAGTGTTGATTTTATCACTTGTTATCTTAAATTCTGTTTTGATATTTGTTATCCCACTGAACGCCTTTTAAAAGTTTTGATCGACTTACATCACCACAAGTAAAACGACTACAGAAGGTATAAGAAAGAATGTGCAAGGAGAAAAACTATTGGAGTTCGTAAGCTAAACGGTCTAATTAACCTAGAGATTAGACGAGTCAACTCTTTTTTTCACTCAGAAAACCCTATCTTGTAAAAACTCTTCAAGTATGTGGAAACTCTTTAAAGAACTTACAGGTGACATGCACATTAGAAGCGATAACCAGCTAAATGTTTGTGATTGAAATAAGTCAGCCACCTGATGTCATGCTCCCTTTATCTACAGGTTTGAAAAATGGTTGTGTTCCTAGTTTCACTGAAACTGATGTCCGAAAATGTCTCCAGTCACTTAATTCATCCCAATGTTTAGGACCTGATGGTATCCCAAATCTTTTTAAAAATGTGCCGACGTTCTGCGTTATCCATTCACGAGTATCTTTAACATATCCTTTTCAACTAATCTCATACCGAAAATGTGGAGAAAGATAAAGATAATCTCTGTACCAAAGAAAGTATCTGATGATAAGAATGTGAAATTTAGATCCATAGCAACAACTTCACCTTTCCTCAAAACAATGGGAAAATTACTGATACTCCCACTTCAGCCTGTAATAAAAGAGCACATTGATCCGTATCAGTTTGCTTAAAAATGCAAAAAAAGCATCTTAGATGCCGTTGCTGTTCTGCATCGCAATATATTGTTCAGCTTGTAAAAGGGTAAGAAGTATGTTCGATGCATTTTTCCGAACTATACTTCTGCTTTCGATTCTATCCCAATACAACTTTTACTTAACAAGATAATCAGCGTCCACAATGACAGCTGTATAATCAATTGGCTATGTCCCTACCTTTCTGGAAGAGAACAGGACACTGTATTTGGAGGAGAGTGTTCAATGTCTCTATTGTCTCATGAGGATGTGCCACACGGAGTTGTTCTTTCACCTCTTCTTTTCTGTCTTCTTATGCATGATTTACCATCTTCCACAGAAAAAACTTGTGAAATATGCGGACGATCTCACGGTATGTATGCCGAATTCTACCTCTTTACATCCCATAGAATTGAATAAGTTTTTGTTTCGTATTGAATGGTGGTCTGTTGTTTATGATTTCATGCTTAATCCATCAAAATGTCAAGCTGTTAACTATAGCCTGAGACATGAACAGCACCTAAACACCATTTTGGGATCCCATATTGCTTGAGCCGTTGGAGACTCTGATAAAAAGTATCTCAGGTCAATTATCTTTGTGTTACTTCTTCCTCTGATCTCTCTTCATTTCTCATGTTTTAGTGTTATCGAAGAAAGTTTTCCATCTGACTTACTACATAAAGAGGCTGCATGGTTTGGGGATTACTCGACATTTACTCTTATAATTTGTCGATTCCTGCGTATTACCTATTATTCTTTACTGTTCTCCATTATTCTTTCCCGGGTTTTTGAGAAAAGACTTTGCTGTATTGCGGAGAGTGCTGAAGGCAATTAGCAAGGTGTGGTGAATCTTTCGCAGTCATTAATAATATGTTTATGGATAGATATCTAAAGTCATGCAAACTCCTGGCAGGTGTTATCTTATCAGATAATAACTATCCCCTTCACTCATATCTTTCTCCTTGTAAATCTACTGATAGAAAGAGACGTAAATATATTAAAATCCATGCCCGAAAGCAAATATACTCTGTGACGAACAGGTTGTCAGAGTTAACCTAGTCAATAACCTGTATTCTTAAATATTTCTCTAATTTGAAAAGTTGTACAGATTCCGTTCTTTTTTCACTTTTTTCTTTTCCTTTTGTTGTTTTCGTTTTTGTAAAGAAACTTGTTGAAAAACCTCATACTGGGAATTCTGTATTGTACATAAATATAATATTGAATAAAGCCATTAATAATTATATGTATATAGAAAGGATTAGGCTTTTGTGCGTAAACCGATTGTTCAATGAAACGGATAGTGATTTTAACCGCAGTGTTTTTAGAATTCTAATCACGCTCCTAATATCTTCATAGCTTTGAGCTTTAAGCATCAGGAGAGAATGAACTGTTTTGGTTAACCATGACTTGTTGGTTAACTCACTCGACTTCTTCTGCTACCGAAAACATTCAGAACAGGATTGTAGAGGCTGTTACTATGTCGAGCCTACATAGGTTAGTCTAGCTTCTGAACAGACCAATTTATTCATTCTTCTCAAGCCACATTTCTACCCTGTCACTTATTCGCTTATCAGCCCTGTCTGTTGTGATATGTTCGTATGTGTGTTAATTACTCACCCTGGTCATTACGTGTCTGTAACATATTGAGTTACTCTTTGGTCAAATGAAGTTGGTTCACTCGCCTTCTCTGCTGCACATCACTTCGTTTCTCGGATTGTCTGTTCAGATCAATAAGTGTACGAAATATGCATATTCGAACTTCATTTTCGTATTTGGCTTATTTAATCCCGTTATTCACTAACGCGACTTATGTCGATAACAATATACGAGAACAACTGGAATGTGTATAGCGATAACATCATCCTCCGATCTAATTGGAGCCAAGTCACGGCACCATTAAAGGATAACATTCTTTTCATAGTTTCATGTATATAGCTAATGCCAATCATTTGGTATTGTTATTTTTACAAATATACAGATTACTAGGAAGTACTCAGACGACATTTGCTCAATTACAAATGCATTATGTAGCAGCTATACAACGTAAATCATTCTATCTCGTTCAATTTCATGTGCATTCAGCATCTCAGCCAGATACATCTGGGAATAAGATAATTACTGATCATTCTTATCCAGAATTATGTCAAGTGAGTGGTCAGTATTTACATACTTTGTATAAAAATAAAAAAAGAGTTTTTTCAACCGAGTTTTTTTGTAAGGGTAAAGAATGGTCTGTCCGTTGAGATTTTAAAATTTATTATGGTATTCGCTTAACGAATTTAACAAAATACACTTTTGAAATTATAAGATTAGTAAATGAATTTTAATCACATCAAGGATATAGTAAACTGTTGATATTGTCTGAAAACATCGTGATTATACTTACCTACTTACTTACGCCTGTTACTCCAATGGAGCATAGGTCACCGACCAGCATTTTCTGGCTAGCATTTTTTTAACGGTTAGTTTTCTACGAGATGGAGTTGCTAGCCTCATGCCCAACCCTCCTCCTTTATCCCGGCTTGGGACCGGCAGTAGCCCCCGGAGGGGCTCCAGGGACACTGCAGCTACAGTAAAATTTACATCCATTTGAACTAAAAATTTTCTCCATTATTGTTAACTCTGAATAGTCACTTGACATTGTTTAACAGCTCAAATGGTCAACCCTTGTGCATGAACAAGTTTATTTTTTTAGACTTACATGATTTAAAAAAAATTGGCTAACATGAAATGTTTCTATGAGTTCATATATTTGATAAAATTCAATCAGATTATGATACACTAAAATAAGTAGTATATATTTGCAACCCAATGAGTAAGAAGTTATTGGGTAAGTATACATGAGATGGTAAGAATATGTTTCTATGTGTATATATTATTATAAAGGTTTATTGCAACTCATTGTGTACACATAAATTCAAGTCCAACTTTCGATTATGTGACTACTAGTACTGTTAGGTGATTGAACATAGTCTTTAGGGAACCTACAACCGAAATTTCTTGTCAATTGATACTTACTATCAACGACCAACCTTCAATGTTGTAGGGAATGATACTCCTTAGTGTATTTCGACGTACGGCACTTGACAATAAGATCAAAGACTTTTCCACCAGACGACTTGAGCCACGATTGACCTTCTGTAGGAAAAATATTGACAATTGACTAATCAGAACGGGGATTTGTGGAGATTGAAGTATGCTTAATTGTTTAATTCACGGGCTGATCTACGATTAGGGTTAGACATGAACACCGTTGGATACTGGCTCAATAGTCCAGATGTCGAGCGTCCGCGCTCAAGATTGAAGGTCCTGGGTTCGAGTTCCGCGTGATGGGTCGTGGATACGCATTGCTGAGCAGTCCCATACTAGGACGAAACGGACATTCAGAGCTTCTAGGCTTTCAATGGTGGCCTAGCTTAGATGGACTCATGAATTCAACTATAAAAATAATTAATCAATAAGTTGTGGATGACCTATGTTACGTTTGTCTAGTCTTCATTAATTAACGCTTATTGAATTCTGTCAGTCAAGTTGCAATGTGACCACTAATGCTATCTGAGTCTTAAAATCCACCAAGATCAAATGAGGTTTAAATACCTCTAAACAGCTGCTCCACAGTATTGATGCGTCTCATTAAATATGTATCCTATTTATTCTTTTTATATTATTGTTCATAGCAACTTCCACATTGGACTTTACTACGGTGTTTGAGATCGATTTGTCAAAATATGTGGGAAATTCTATTATGTTATCATCGTACAATTCAATGGCATAAAAATCGAGCGTCTGGCAAAAGTGTACGTTTTTCCCTTCTTATATATAACTGTTATATATAACAGTTTATTTCATGATTATTTTTCCAATAAATTCAGTAGTATGTCTATGTATTTTTATGCGAATACTTAGTTACTTCTAGTTTTACGATACAATTTGTTTGTATCTGTTTTTTAAATATATTTTTGTGGAAAAATTCATTGTTGTTGTGTACAATTAAAATGGAATTAAAGTACATACGTGAAAGAGATGTTGGTGGCAAGATAATGAGTTAATTTATGAAGAAATCAAACCTACTTTAACTAAAAATGCTCATTATTTCGATTCTGTTTAGTTTTTCAGTTAATAAGCTACAAGTTAACACTATGTTTTATGTCATCACAGTTTACTGAATCAACTTGTGTCATCATTGTATAGTAAAAAAGTCCCTAGTAGCGTAGTTTAACCATATCAAAAGTGAGGTGATTGCTCATCATTGACATTGAATAATCGTCAGATTATCTGTTTTAACTGAAGTTGAAAATATAGACCACATTGTATTTTAGTCTAGCAGTTGCCACGAGATTTGAAAATTTTGAGTTCATTCTAATATACTGATCGAGTATAGACATATCATATACTTGTACCCATAAATCATTTCCACGGTAAATCGTAAGTGAAAAATTGTAAACGAGGAATACTACTAAAGAGATTCGATTATGTACTCAATCAAAATCGAAGTCCACATATCCTTGTTTAGGTCGAAAATGTAATCATTTGTACACATGATTAATGGACGTTATAATTCAGTTTGATATTTATGCCTTCTTATATCATAGGAAGTGTATGAAGTAACCGTAGAGAAATAACATACTCCCATATTGGTTCGTGTATGTATAATGCTGTGGTCGAGTCTGAATTGTTTGAGATGAAACACCTGTGTTCAGTGCTTCCATGTTTTGATATTGTGTTTTTCTCAAATCAGTCACTCTAGAAAGCAAAACCAATACATACCTTCATCACTATTTACAAATTCTTTTCTGATTTTATTCTCACTCCTTTTTCCTTTTTTTAGTCATCTGAAACATATCCGTCTGCATCTAGTCACACCAAACATAAATCATTTACTTCAAATTCTCTACTTAATAATTCCAAATATCATAACCGAAATTAAAAGTTGACAATATCAATCGTGATGATATTGTTGTCACTACTGAAATTGATCAAGACAGTAGTACAGTGACAAAATCATCCGTCATCATAAATAATGATCATGGTTGTGATCCACAATTGGCCAGACAGTGGCATGATTATGTTACGTGTAAATTAGATTCTGGTCGGTCACGTATATGGTCAGAAATCATTTCACGTATTGAACCAATTTTAAATGTTGTTAGTCACCTTGCCAGAGATATGACATTTGATCAGATTGCTTCATTATTATCTACTATTAATCAGTAAGTTTTGATTAAGTAACATCTTCTTTGCTGTCTTTTTTTGTTAGTGTTCATGTTAGAAAATTGCACGTTTGTTAGCAAACACTATTGTCTACATTTTGTAGATTTTATTCGTCACAGAATAATCTCAACTGATGAAGTACCGTTGAAAATCAAGAGCGTTGACCAGTAGTTTTATTCTAGTATAGCAGTCCCCAACAGTGCACATTCATTCATGATCTCACGAGAAACTTATTTTAGGATGTTCCTAAAGTTTTAATAAGTTGTGACCTGTGATGCTCAAGCATTTCTGAAGTGAAACACTTGTCACTAACGGCGTTAAATGGCCGTCATCCAACATGGCAAATTGGTTGAAGTTGAAATTATTTAGTTTGACGCCGACCCGATGTTTTTAACAATTAAGCGTCCGTACTCGGTGAAGTTATGAGTATGGGCTTTGAAGGAGACCCATATTAGGCTGAAATAGCTGTCCAATCCGTCATTCTCAAAGATTCAACAACTGTCACCAATTTGTATTGAATACAATCTACAAATCAAATCAGTCTCTGCTAAACTCTTCCAACGAAACTATTGTTTTTAGTCTTATTAACTAATAATTAGAAAAAACACTTATGTAAGCTAACAGTATTGTTTTCAATTAGCTGTTTATAGGGCTTTACTTTAATCCACAGTAACATTTTGTATAGATACATAATAATTGGTAAACCGGTCAAAACAATTTATGAATCAATGATAGTGAAGTAGGTTGCATAATTCAATACCGTGTTTGGGGTTGCGGATGCAGACTTTTGAAGAGGTCCACACCAGGACAAATGGCCGTCCAGTGCTCTCAGGTTTTCAGTAGTGGTCTAATATTGATCGGTTCATGATTTCAATGAAAAAGTACAAATTGTTAGTAAGATGACTAATGTGTAGTGGTTATAAGATGAATAAATATCTTGGAAATAGGGGTAAATATTTTAACATAGAAAGCTGATCAACACTTGATAAAATAAAGTTCATTAGATAATCATTAAAAATACTTAATAAGAAACAGTTGTGAATAATCAATTTAAGTATGCTATGGTAAAGAGTTTATTTAAAGGAAGTGAAGAAAGACAAGAGGATGATTATAATCGAGATATTACAAATTTATTTTAGACACAACTAGGATTACTGACTCGAATCTTTATGGCTTTCCGTATATATTAGAGATGTGACTTTATCCGACTGGTTGAGTGTGAGAGTTTGCAGAAAATCACTTTGAACACCTTAGTTTGATGTACTACACATGACCACTATAGATCGAGTGAGATGAAGCAGAACGAAATATTGACTTTGTTTGATCCCTTTCATACAGCTCAGTGAGTGCTCACTGATTGTGCTAGTAAGTTCGATATAGCTGTCTTTACAGGAATAACCTAATCGATGAGTACAGGTAGAAGTGATAAATCTAGTTAACATCTCCTTGAATTCGGTAACCATCATTGACAAACTAAAAAGTAACAATGATTAATTTGATTTTCGATAATACTTTTATCAATTCCGAATGGTAGGTCTTTTCACCTAATGTACATGATTCATTGTTTTATACATTAATGTGTAATTACTTACCTAGGAGTTCAATTGATTCCCCTTTGATAACAAGGATGTGGATTACACAATTTATACTAATTACCTCATTATTTTAGATAAGTGTTTCATGGCGATTTGTTCAATTTTAAGACAGATTTCATCCTAAACTTAGAAATCAATATAACAAATTAATGAAAACGAGTAATAATTACACACACAATTGTTTTACCTTCATTGAAGACTAATTCTAATTACTGAAATATCCACGATTTCATACAAGGTATCGACCTGAAATCTCACTTACTAAAATACTTTTTAATTATTCTTTCAGAATTTTCAGTTATTCAGTCAACACCAATCACTAAGTATCTTTAAATTAAGTTATGCCTATTGAATTAATAATGAAAAGGTGAATATCTACGTAAAATACGAGACTTTAATTTGTTATATATTGCTCACGAAATTATCAAGACAAATATCAAAATCGTCGAAGTGGCAAAAGTTTTGGTAGTAATAAGAAATTTTATGAGTAGAAAACATGATTCAAGAAGACAATATGAATTCATAGATTGAAAAGTATGAAATTCTTCCCAAACTTATGTTTTGTACGATGACAAACAATGAATGTGTCTACATTGTAGAAACTGAATTTTGAGTCATGTCACTCAACGTTCCCGATTTTTGTTTACGATAATCGCACTTTAAGCTATATGAAAGATTAATTTCGATAAAATATTAATGGATAAATTGTTGTATTCTTGTGCCTATGAATGCATACATATATTTGTGTACCCTCAATCTAAACAGTGACAATTACAATGCATATATGTATATATATTTACTAAAAACGATCAGTAAACAAAAACACTAATTTATTGGATAAAGAAAATGAAGGTTTAAAATTCACTAATTTTTGTTGAAATCTCTTCTAAGACGAGAAAAATCGATTCACTTTACTTTCCACCTTTATTTACATGACTCTACTAATGAATATTTTTCAATCTATGGTAATATGTGGTCAATAACTAGTTTACATCGATAAAATTCGTGATTTCCAATATACTATTTTTATTTGTAAATGAAAGGCGTCACTATTCATGTTTTGAAGGTTTTTGGCATATATATATATATATATATATATATATATATATATATATATATTGTATATGATCGTGAAGAGCCTCCATAAGACCAGTCATTACCCCAGGATGTCATACATTGTTATTATGTCGAGGTAGAGTCAACAAGTTGAATAGTAATAAAGTCAAAGTAATCCTACTACCAATCGTAATACGAAAGACCGAATAAACATTTGGAATATGGTTTATGACGAATAAGTCGATCGATATTTATTTATGAATACTAGGGATAAAAATGTAGTGTAAGATAATGAGTGAATCTATCTAGTCTACTGTTTATGATGCTGAGCCATGTTCTTATTGATCTGTTATTCTCAAGCTCCTTTCTATGCCCTTCCATTCAGTCCAGAAATCAGCAGCCATCCTCTACTTTATTTTTATTTCAAAACAGACGTGGTTTATTTACAGACATCCTGGACCGCATTACACCATAAAATGCAAAATGGCAATCATAAATAAACGAGCCAGAAGTGTCTGTATATAGGGAAAGCTGTAAGTAATTGACTGGTAACAAATTTGGAATAGTTAGTCGTATATGAGTAGATGTTGGTTTAAACGGAAGCTTGTTAGTAAAACAGAACTGTAAAATCAAATAATTATGTTCACTAATCATTGTTATACTTACATTTGTCCTTCTGTAGTATAGAATCAAATTTGACTCCCTTCGGTAGCGTATGTTAACTATAATGTCTCACCTACTGTACTGTCTGACCTTGATATAAACGCAAGAACGGGTGTATAACATGCCTAGACTCTCTCAGTTTATCAGGTTTTTGCTAGAACTATATATCCTGTTCGGTATTTAGAATCATCTTTTTGTATTTAGAGACGCTAATAGATATGTCATCAATTGGAATTCAAAATTTTCTCTATCCCACATTTACTATTTATTCTATAGCCTAATGTCGCAAACGTGGCCAATTACACGTCTAACCTTCAGTTAATCTTGAGCTGACGCAATCTAAGCTCCTATCGCTCCACTATACTCAAACCTTTACACCAACTCTTGAGTCTAGAGGAAAGTCAGCAACCAATTTTCATTACACTCATTTCAAACATGACTCAAAATTCACACAATAATACAGAGTAAATTATTAACTACACGCCAACGTAGATGAGTGTAGATTGGTTTACTTGACTTCAAGTCATACATTAAGTTTGAAGTCTCGTAATACTATCCAATTGCCTAAACTGCAATAGATGGGTCAGGGTTCAGACCCGTGACATAGTAATCGAAAGTTTAATGTCCTAACTACTGAGTCACCGCTCTAGTGGACGGATAATTCCATCATCTACCCTATTTAATAACTTATTATAGTGTTTGCAATATCAATTCAATGATTTTTATTGGTTGAGTTTCGTTCTTTAGTCTGAATGTTTTAATTATGAAGTTTTTATTGTTCTTTAAAAAAAAAATAAAATCAGGACAAACTTTAGGTGAAGGTAAGCTATTCCTCTATGAATATATGATTGACAGCTTGTCCTATCCATTTAGTCCAGAGAATGAAACGTTACCAAAATTATCCATCAGGGCTTCAAATTCTCATCATTATCTCATTACCCATAAGTTTCATCATATTTCTTTGTTTTTTATTTATCAGTAAAAAAACCTTTCTTCATTATCTTTTTCTTTAGTTTTGTACATATAGGTGAAGAATTTTGTGAATGTTCACCGAATGAACTACTGGAAGCTTTACGAATTTCAATTCAAAAATATTTTAAAGACTTCCATCGGTAAATAAATGTTCATTTTTGTTTTCTTTTAAAAAACTGTTTATTATTAACTATCCATTTCTAGAATAGTGGCTTTTGGATTTTGTTAAATGTGTACAGATTACAACACAAGTATTGGAAACCGCAAACAATTGGAGATGGCCGCACAACTAACTGGAGTTAGATGTGTATACCATTAGATCCATATTTCAGTGGTCTCGAGGTTATACGTTTACTTACGAAATCGAAGGTCTTGGGTTCGGTCCTCGCTTGGGTCGTAGATGCACACTACCCAGGAGTCTCATATTATGGTTGGAATGGCTATTTAGTGTTCCTTAGTTCTTATAACTTGTTTAAAATTATTTAATCAACATCAGCGACTAGTTTCTTTTCTTTTTTTTAAACCAACAATTCGAAAAATATAGAGATAATTTAATGGAAGGGTTATCAATAATATTTTCAATGTTCCAAATGCGTGATATATCAAACATCTTCGGGTAGTTTTTCCTTAATTTGTGAGAGAGTTTAATTTCCATTGAAGATTTCACTTTAAGACTCTGGAATTGACCGTAACTGTCTCGTATTGACATAGTAGTATAGCGTAGCCTCAGGTATCAAATAATCACAAATGCAGTATAATTAAAGACTTAAAATGAAATTTCCGGTAAAAAATTACACTCTAATATGTAACACTCATTCACCGAATGATTTTAAAAATGATCCAAAGTTTTGAACTCAACATACCTATTAAATATAGAAAATGTTGCGGACAACCTCAGGCTGACAAGTTATTATTTCGAAAGAAATATTAAGATTATCTACTCAAAGTTTTCACCCTTGTAAATAAACAAAATGCGTTGAATTTATTTCAAAGTCATAGCCAAATAACCTCAGTGGTTTTTACGCTATAAAATCAATCCTTGTTATAATAATACACACCAATTGGTTAAATGATCAATGAAAATAATCTGCCAATAATCTGTTAGTTAATTGGTAAGGCTTGGAGCATTTGAATGTTACTGTACTCTTCATTTTGTCTATATTCTTGTCTGATCAGTTTATTCATGTTTTGACCTGTTCAATGAATCAATATACATGTATATAACATTCGCATTTTAGTATAAAATACAGTAAATATATAGATAGAATTAATTAAAAAGAATAGTTTAGATTCATTTCATTGGTTTATTATATACATGTAAATATCTTTCACTTTAAGTGTAATTCTGTCGTACAGAAATGTGTATTAATTACTAGTCTGTTAAACATTTTTCTATATCCGTTTACTTCTCATTTAGTCTTCTGTGTTTTCTTTTCTCGTTCTGGTTTCGCTTTTCGTGTATCTGCTCTCACATGTTCAAGAACAATGGTTAAGTTTATTCGCATGCCACCTCTCCTATTATTCAAGATTTTGTGTGTGTGAGGGAGAGAAAAAGGGAATGTATATGTTGATTAATTTGTTTGCATGTGCTCGCTGTTTATCACCATATCAACGATAGTCAGTATTTATTATTATATTTAAAACAATCGAAATTTATAGTGTGCTTTGCTTTTTTAGTTAATCTCTAAATTGACGAGATATCATATTATCTGCATTGTTTTTGTGTAGTTACCCAATATAGTAAAACGATAGGGATCTAAATACATGACTTGTATTGATAAATTTTTAGAGGATAATTGATTTCTCAACCTACCTTCCTTTACTGAATATGATTTTCTTTTATCCGTGGTACTGTTCGATAACTGCTTCCATATAAAAACTTTACGTATGATTTTTAATTTTTACGGAAATGTAGATTACAAACAAAAAAATGACAATAGATTGCTGTTTTGAGTTCTTTGAATGCTGTTCCAGCTTCTGGAACGCTACAGCAAACTGCATAATCAAGAACAAATTGTCCATAGTTGTGATCACATTTTTAAACTGAATCTGAGCTCGTATTAGCTCAATTATTCTAATTCATTGTGACGAATGTAGGTAATTATCGCTCAAACCACTGACTTAAAAATAATCATGGTTTTCTTTTCTTTAGCTTTAACGGTAAATTTTGAGGGCATGACTATAAACGTTGGAAAAAATAGAGATTGGTTTAAATGTTTTTGAAATATGTGATCAATTCGTCTCGGTTTGCATCCTTTATTCACCCAAATACACAAAGAAATAGTATGCGGGTGTGAATAGTGGATTTAAAATATTGTTGTTTTTGTTTTACTCAGCCATTTATCAAAAAATTAGAACAAATATTCGTTAACCACATAACTACATAATAGAAACTAGACAATATCATATATCTTTTTGTAGTATCTGTTATTCGACATCATTAACACAAACCAAATACATCCCTGACGTTTTTTCGATTTTTTTCTATTCAAAATCTACAGAAAATGCTCAACTTTATCACTCCTTTTATCTAATGATCAAGTGAATAATTTCGAGGTTTGACCATGAAGCAAGACATGAGATCAGTCCATGATGATGTTACTGACTGTCATAGTGACCTGTATTGTAAGGTTACAGACTTTTGGGTTGTTGTAATCCACAGGATAATGGTGGTAGCTAAGAGATTACTTTCGAAAAATTTCTGTCATATTGTATCAGTAATAGACTACAATTTCGCCTATAAAATAGGAAAATGAGTTAATTAAAGGAATAAAAAATACACTCTTATATACCAGCTTATAAGTTGATAACCTCTTGCTCTAATTGAACCGAATCGAACTTTGTAACTTAAAATATTTGACCATATGTTTTTCTTAACTACTTTTAGATATTAAAAAATTGTATGCGAACTTTCTTTATCCTTTTTATCTATTGTTGCACCGTAAAATGTGGACCTTTCATACTAAGACAGTGTATAGTTTCATGTTCTTCTTAAATATGGAAATATACTATAATTTTGTATACAGACTTTTAGATTTGAACTCAGGGTGGTTGAATGGTAACGCCCTGAATACTAGGCCTATAAATCTGATTTTCCACCACTATCCATGTTGTGGTTCTTTGTGGTATGGCAACTGGGACTGATGTACGTACGTACGAAGTCCTACGTTGTTGCTGACTGACTGCGGTTCTCTGTACACCGCTGTTTAAACAGTTTTAAACATTGATAAATCAGCTATACAGTACTCTTTGTTTTCCAGTGGTTTTCCTCTTCACATTAGTCCATTAAGGAAATCATTTTCAAATAATCCTATTCTCTACAATCTACACAAAGATTATCATTTATTAGCTACTTGTTTTAAATGAGTAAACGTTAGTGTTTCACGTGCATTTTCCTTGATCATAACACCTATATTTGTACATTCATTTACATGGAAATTAATTAGAATAAACTTTGTGAGTAATATGTGTTTGATCGTTTCCGTTTTCCCAAATTTATTCTGCTACTCCTTTCTAGAAAGCATATGGACCGACTTAAAATGTTTTTAGAAAACGAAACGTGGAAAATATGTCCTGTCAAGCATTCATTCACTGTAATGGATCTTCAGGTAATAAGATGTTATTTTCTGTTTTTTGTTCAGTCTATTTTATTTTTTCACCTCATTGCCCAAACATATCAATCGATGAAGATTCACAACTTCGTCAACTGATTTACCATCATCCCCTAATACACTGCGTTTAACGTCACTATTACTTATCCGATGATCCCAGCAGACGCGAGCAATATTTCTAAGACATCTGTGATCAAATACTAGTAGCTTACGAGTATCTTTCACCCTTAATGTTTACGTTTCGCAGCCGTAAATTAGAACCGAACGAACTGCCTTTCACGGTATATAAGTTACCAGGCACTTAAATATATAGATCTGTTACTTAACTGTGTACCGAAAATTTCTGAATTATATGATTATTTCAATTTATTATTTACCGTGCATCTTACTATTGTATCTTACTCATGTAATCACCTGAGTTAAGTGTCTAAACAGTAAGACTGCCTGTTAGCAATCATATGACTTTCTGTTGTTCCGATTGGAGGAAGTTTGAGAGCATGAGAATTCTCATGGCCTATCGATCATGATGAGTACTTTATCGGATATTATAATTTTACTGTTAGTGGAATAAAGAAAGAACACAGCAATTTTTACAATAGGCATTTCAAATAAATAGTATCTCTAGAGGAATGATACATTTGCCAACTGTATGAACAAGATTTAGTTTGGTTGCCTTAAACTAAACTAACTTGTAACAAGCCAAGATAATTTTATCAACCATATAATGTTTCCTAATAATGTATAATTTTTCATTCATTTGTTAAAAAAAGGCTATAAACATGAATGTAAATTGTTACATTTTCATTTCCTATTTAGTAATACATATTTATCAATCTGTCTATGCATCCTACTATTTACTGAGATTGTATTTCCTTTTCTTTTATTATAGGAATTCAGAGCAGTAAAAGATTTATTTGAAAGTAATACAGCTAACAACAATATTACTAGTAATAGCAACGGCACTAATGTTAATAAAAGCATTACAGTTAATGGGTTGAGCAAAGTCTCAGATAGCAATAATAACAATAATTCAACGATAACGTTAGTATTTTTAGTCTATCCATTGCTTTTTCCCTTTCTCTTTATTTTATTATTATAATTATTCTGCTTGGAAATAAAAGTGATCATGACATCCAATGGTAGGTTAGGTAATAATGCTCAAATGGAAAATAACTGAACAAGTGATTTTTGTGTGTGTACATAAACTTTTTTTGAAAAAAATTCTGTTGTCATTGTATTTATAGTTTGTATTTATCACAAATTGATGTCAGTTGAGATGCCATTGAAGAACACGAAGAGTGACATTGAACAGCTTTTTCATCCCTGTATAAAGGACATCAAAAACCATGATTTCATGACCCCATCAGAGATTGAGTCCAAGAACATCAGATCTAACAGAAAACGCTTAGCCATTAGAAAACGGTAGCCATTTTCTAATGGTACGATTTGAACTTCAATCAACTTGCAATAGAACGTGAAGATCATCTAATACAACTGGGACATCTGTCTCAATTTCGATATATCTCAACTTCACCAGTAAACCTATCACCCCGGTTTTCATTGATACCTTAATTATTATCGAACTTTGACGAATACAACTCATAAACTAAATCAGTCTTTACTAAAGCTTTTAAGCTGAAATTTTGTTGTCTTAAGTGTGTTAATTATTCAAATGCTCATATGTACAAATGTATATTTGTACAGTGTAAGTTTGCAGTGTATAGCGAGAACATAAATAATAATCCAGTCATTTTCTTTTAGAACTTCGTTCAACACATCCAAATCGGAAAACAGTTAGATTTATTAAAGGTTTCATATAATCTCATTTCAGGTAACGAACAATACAACATTCACGATCATTTACTGGGGTTTCAGTCTATGGCTTTCATGGTGTTCATTTCTACGTTTTCTTAGTTGAACCGAAAAAAATAGCAATCGAAGTGTTCCAGTTGTGTTTTGTTGTATTCATTGCCTTAATTAGGTTCTATGTGACATTCATGCACTGACAAATAACTGTTTATTTGTATAGGAAATTTGTGGAGATTGTAGTATTTGCACAATTGAAATCACGAACTGATCAAAGTTAGACCACCATTGAAAACCTGGAAGCACTGAATGGCATTTTCGCCCTAGTATGGGACTTCTCAGCAATGCACATCCACGAACCCACCCGCCAGAATCAAACCTTGGACTTTTGATCTCGTGCCCAAACGTTTAACCTCTAGACCAATCGGCTATCATCCAGTAGTGATCTTGTTATGATCAGAAGGTGATTTCAACTTTGATAGACTACAACCTCCAATAATAATAATAATAATAATAATAATAATAATAATAATAATAATAATAACAGTTGTGTCCAAACCTGTGACTAGCTTCAAGATGTGATATCAAGAGTTTTAGTGAGAAGTCGTGACCAACGGAGTTCAATCCGTGTCGGTGTGAGACAGTTATCCACCTCAGACAATGGATGAAGGGTTTCTCAGGATAATGGATTGATTAAAGTTAGAACAGACACCTCTGGATGTCAAATCCAGTGGTCTAGATACTAAACATTTTAAGCGAAACCGAAAGTCCTTGCCCGATTCTTATGGACGAGTTTGTTAATGCAATTTGCTTGATGAAACTAATAATAGAATTTGCACACTTATCTAGCGCTTCCAGGCTTTCAGCTGCGATCTAGCCAAAATCAGGTCATGATTTCTACTACTTATTGCTTAAAATTACTATGCATAGGTTTCACAATATGGTAGATAAATCGTATGTTAATTGAATTAGTGATCTTATTCAAAAATCTCATATTAATTATCACCTTTATTGCGAGTTTACAATTAAGTCTCTTCCGGAACAAAAGAGTTTAATTAAGTGCAATCATAATAGACGGTTGATATTTAATTATTTAAGTAGTATATACTGGAATTTTACATTTTTAATTTTCAAATTATAACTTACTCTTTTACTTAAATCAAAATTTATCACATTAATATTGCACAGAAAAATACTTTCTAGTTTCTCAGTCGAAATTGTTGAGATTCAATGTTAATTTGCAAATAGATCAATATGTATTAGGTATACGTAATTTGGTTCGGCTTTAATCCTAATAACTAGCAGGCTGACCTTGTGGTGGGGAAGCGACTCGTACAATGAAGTTTATCTGAGTGCGAGATTGCCAACACTAAATTACCAGTCTTTGACTGACGTTATCAGCCGGGTCCTCGGGCTTAGGCTGAATTTTTGATGTCCCTCTAAGAAGGGATAAATGTGATAAACAAAGCTATTGGAGTGTTTGTATCTTGTCAGCATTGATGTGATATTCGTCCAGTTAATTAGTACTAGTGGGGATTGAGAGATTCAGAGTATGCTAGCAGCCTATCATGTTTTGAATGGCATTCAAGGTTATAAAATCCATACACCTAACCAAAAGCCGGCTCCAGGTATCGATTACAAAATACAGAACTACTTCCTAAGTAGCAATGAAGTACATATAATATAGAATTGAAGTCATGATTTAACACTAAACCAGTTATTAATTATGCAAAGACATTGAGTATCACTTTTCTGTCTGCCCGTCGTAACAAATGACTTATCATGTTTTATAGTTCACGTCACATACTGACTTAAGCTAGACACCCATCGAAGACCAATGAGCAATGAACAACTGCTTTCCCTTATAATGAAATCATATGGTCACAAGCGATGAATTTTAAGAAAGATTACTGAAGCTCTAGTGAAAATCCTCAACCGATTGCAGTTTAATCAAGTTGCATGTGAGATCTTTTTCTACACTAGAGATTGATAACCACAATGTTTCAAACTGTTAGAATTCGAATCCCAACTCACTGATCTAAAGAAGGAGCGTACACATCTAGCTCTGGAGAACTCCAGTTCTATCTCTAATGGGTGGCATTGCTTTGCATTGCCAACAACAATTGCCTAATTTAGTAATCAACCTGAAATCAGTTTGTACTGTAAACTTACATTGATTGGTTAATCAATTAGTGATTGTCACGTATGGAATACTGACCTCCTTATAGAGGATGAAATACAGTATAATTAACTATTCTCAACTGCCAAACCAGGACAGTGAATAAACAATGACACAGGAATCCGTTTATTCAACAATAACAACAAGTTCATTCACTGGTACAACGATGTTAGCAGGATACCGATTTCAATTGTCTAAACAACAATAATAGGATTAAATGTCCTAATTTCATTGGATATTCTCGCTGACTCGGCATTCCAACTGCAAATCGCACGTGACACAATCACGGACGATCACAAAATGGTGATACTAGCACCATAAAACGGAATGTTGGTACGACCAAGCAAGATGAAAGGCTCAACATCTCATCTCTTTTGACAGTGAACGATTTTGTTTGTTTAATCCTTCGTGCTGATCGAATTACATCGATCAAGTTGCAATGCAGCTATTAGTTACTGTGTATTAGTGTCAAATCTCGGACACTGTACATCATAAGATCAACCATTTAACATCAAAGAGTAATGTAAACTATTTCAAGTGAATGTCACTTCACTGCGAAATTCATCTTTGAAACTCATTTCACTTTCCCTCTCTCTCTCTCTCTCTCTCTCTATATATATATATATATATATATATATATATATATATATATATATATATTGAACATATTGTTAAAAATTTCCGCTAATAATTAATTCTAGTTATATTTATGATCTTCATCTATTTCTTTATTCAAATAAATTGATTTTCATGTTTAGCGTTTCAAAACTACAAAATAAAAAGTTATTCGCCTCCCCTTATACCTTTGTGCAATTCCCTGAGGATCCCGAGAATAGTAATAATAATGATAACATTAATGACAATGGTGTTAGTAGTGACAATAATCTTGGTCAAATTGAAAATAACTCCCCTGATTTAATGAATTTATCGTCAGCATCAAACGATATTATGGCTACAAAAAGGTCAAATACAAAGTTTTCTCCCAATAATACTGATCATAATCATGGTGATAATGATATTCATGGTAATGTTAATAATAATGCCAAGTTTATTACCCTTTCACAAAACAACTTCGTAAGTTATAAAAACAAGTATCACGTATATATATTCTATTGTCCCTTATATATATATATATATATATATATCCAGCCTGCTGGTCTCGAAGTTGCGCATCTACTGCGTCTTTCATCCAACTCAGCAACACTCTGTTGAAAACGTTTCCTGGTACTGATAGTAGTGTGAATCCTTTGTAGTTTTCACATTTACTCAGATCTCCTTTCTTTGCTATCGTAATGAAGTGTCCTTCTTTACAGTCTGTTGGCACTTGTTCTTCTTCCCAAATCTCCCTGAATAGAGCGTGAATCACGTTTCCAATTGCCTCTATGTCTGACTTCAGAGATTCAGTTGGTATATTGTCAGGTCCTTCTGCTTTCTCACTCTTGATTTGTCTGATGGCCATCCTGGCTTCTTCTGTCGTTTGTGGAGTGACATCTATATAAAGATCTGTGTGCTGCTTCTATGTCCAGTGTTTTCAGTGAAGCTGGTCTATTCTCGAGTTCCTCGAAGTATTCTACCCATCTGTTCCTTTGTTCTTGAATCTCGGTGATTGGTTTGCCTTCCTTGTCCTTGATTTACTTGGTTCACTATATTTTCCTGTTAGTTTCTTCGTTTTGTCATATAGCTGTCTCATATTTCCTTCCCTTAAAGCTTTTTCCTCTGTCTTTGCTAGCTCTTTCACGTATTCTTGTTGTCAGCTCTAATATCTCATTTCACCTTCTTGTTTCCTTCTGTATATTGCTCTTGTGCCTTGTTCGACTGTTGTTTTTTGATGTCTTTTTGTTCTTCCTTTCTTAAATCGTTTCCAGGGTTTTAATAGAGATCCATTCCTGAATCTTTTATTGATGCAAATATGATCTATGTAGTTCTCCGTAGTGTGGTGCGGTGAGACATATCTAGCTTTGTGTATGAGTTTGTGTGGGAATATTTTGCCGCCTATGACCAATTTGTTAAATGCAGATAGGTTTGCAAATCTCTCCCGATTTACATTTCTCTCTCCCAGTCCATGTCGTCCCATGATATCTTCATATCCGGTATTGTCCATTTTGACTTTGGTGTTAAGGTCTCCCATCAGGATGGTGAGTTTCTTTCTTGTGCACTTCTCTATGAGTGATTGTAGCCTATTGTATAACTGATCTCTATCGTCGTCATTGCTATCATTGTTGGGTTAATAACACTGGACAACATTCACTGCAATTCCCTCCTTTGTTTTGAATGATGTCTAGATGGTTCTGAATCCGTGAGATCCTCATCCTACAAGTGCGTTTCGTGCCACTTTGGACAGCATTAGAGCAAGTTCCTGAATGTTTGTAGCATTTTTCTCTTCGTGACCGGAGTACAACAGCATCTCTCCCGTATCCAGCCTTTGCTGTTCAGCTCGGGCCCAATAGTTTTTGCTGATTCCGAGTACTACCAAGTTGTATCTCCTCATTACCTCAGCTATTTGATTGGTCCTTCCGGTCTTCTATATTGTCCGGACGTTCCATGTATCTATGTTGATTGTTGCTCTGGTTGTTAGAAGGGGCATCGGCCTTGTGATTGAAGAGTCTCGGCTTTCATTATGAGGTGTCATAATTCTTCCCTCAACTCTGAGGGTTTAATTTGCTTAATCTGGTTGGCGTTTTTAAGCAAGATTTTTTTCTACAGGATGGGGTTGCCGACCCCATACTTAACCTTCCTCCTTTACCCAGGCTTGGGACCGGCAGTAACTCTAGAAGGGCTACAGGAGGAGTTAAAAGTAGTGTAGAAAGAATTAAGTTGATTCATCTATATTATGTCTTTCTTTCTTCAGTTAGCCCATAGTGAACTCATTCGATAAGAATAAAATGTCTAGTCCAGCCTCCTCTACAGTTAAACTGACCTTGTGAAGGCAGTTATTGTGGATGTACAACCAAGCAAATACATCATCTTATTTTCATGAACATTACCCCTTATGGTTGATCAAGGGAAAAAAGAGAACAGTAAGAAGCTATGTTTTGGCATACTTAGTAGATAGCGGTCACCATATCAAAACGAAGTTAGCTTTTAGATTCGTTTACAGGATTCCGTAGAATTTATCTCATATTTTTCAGACTTCGTCTTTTACATACAACCGAACCTATTATTATACACATTAATAAACTTAATCTTTGTACACAGAAAAAGTTTGTTCAGCTTTTTAATTCACCGTCGCCTTCTTTTCCTCAGTTACTATATTTCTCAAAATTCCTAATTCTGTCCCATAATAATTTTATAACTTTATTTAAAGTGATCTACCTGTCCTAATAGGCTGATTGGTCACCTACTATTCTTTCCATCAACTGTATTGATTGCAAATTTCTTATTTTACAAGTAACACTAACATATCTATTCGACTATTCAATTCCAAACTTGATTTTTACTCTTACGCAACGATACTTTTTGCCTAACTGATTATGTAATCGTATATTTAGATCGGTTACACATTTCACATCTATTGAGCTGCTCACTGATTACTATTTTAGAGAAAACATTGTTAAATTTATCAACCATCATTTGTTTGATATTGATTTCATTTATCCTTAACTGTAAAGCTTATATATATAACTGTAGAGCTTTGAGATGAGGATTTAACTGAAAAGAAATACTTCTTCAATCAAATTGTGTTTTTAACGCCTTAATAGAAATATTTAATAATCAATAATTTACTTTTCAGTCTAATGATTCATCGTTTTCAAATGATCATAGTGGGCCACTTTTATCAACAACTACATTAGAAGTTCTTCGTTTGATCGGTAAGTACATTCATATTTATCTTTTTTCATTGAATATGATTATTTCTAGCTATTTACTCTCATGGTTAAAACGATACATCAGTTAGAAAGGGACATTCTTTGAAAAGCACTCAACACTTCAACTTTTTAACTTTTCTTAACGTTTTTAATTGACGACTGAACGCCATATTTAGTTTATGACATATTTTTACTCTCATTGCATAGTGAAAAATCACTTGTTTTATCGTGATTTACTGAGTTGTGCGATTAAATCTGCATTGAACATTTTCTTATTTCTTACAAACTACTTATTTCTGAAATAAGTACATCATTTTTGATTTAAATATACACTATAATGTTCCTCTTATTTGGAGCCTCAAGGAGATTAAACCTATCGGACAACATTATTTGACAAAATACCTTTCGATACAGTTATTTATACACAACAAAAGAAGACATTGATACATGAGGTTTCATTGGGACATGTTGCAGAGAATAAAGCAAGATACAGATGAAGAAGTATACCTAACAACCACCTACTTCGATGAGCGACGCATATATATCCAGAATTAGGTTGAAATATAGCTAGAATGGACAGACCAAAATGCGACGTCAATCTATGTATTCATCGAATATTGGTCTGAGTCATGTTAATCGATCTAGACTACCATATTTGGTTTCACGTAATAACTGCGATGAGTGACTGGAGATTTTAGATGACACAGCACAAAATCGTTCACAGTCTTTATCTCACTCACTATCTTTGATTTTAATATTTCTTCATGCATGCTTTTCCAGTTTGCCTTTTGAAACCATATTCCAAGATCTAGTATTTCTTTCTATAGTTGATACTACATTACTTCTCACTCTTGTTGTATTCACCTCGTCGTGTTAATCTTAATCCGACTCACATCCTTACCACACTCCGTGTTAATTGTTTTTTCTGTCAGTCTATCGGTTCACCTATTCGCTATTAAAATCCTCTCCGAACCACAAATTACCTACATCTAAAACGTAAGTGAAAAAATTCCTCATCTTGTATGGATTCCGTATCTTCAGGATGATCGTTGGAGAAAAAGGTTATTTTTCACTTCGTGAAATTGGTCACTCTGGTTCTCAACAGAAGCTATCTTTCTGACGTGGCGTTTGGGTTTCCCTATTGTGATGACCTGGTAATGCTGTATTTAGTTGAAACACATTTTGCATGAAATTATACCACATTTTGTAGGTTAGGTTGGTGGGTTATAAAACCTGAAGCAGTAAATTTGTGGTACAAATGCAAAATTGTACTGACGTTTCACCTGGGCTGTGGTAACAGTAAAGGGTTTCCTATAGATTACCAGCATCTTCAGCGATCTCAATTCTTCACAAGTGAAAGGAAGTTAGAATAGAATTGCTCTATGAAATGTTGAAACATAACTTCTTTCAAGGATTTCCGGTTTCGGTGGTAAGGTCTGAAAAGTACAGAGCTATTACGTTAGAAACCACTCACAAAATGGCTATTCATGACTAACTTGTCCCATAGGTTCTACAGTTACGCTTTCAGATCGTCAATATCAACACAAACTATGGATTCTTACTAAATCCCACAAGAAGCACTGTTCCTTCACGATGAAGTCAACTGAACTGACAACCGTTCACATACGTCTAACAGCACTGAGGCTTACTTTTCTTGAAATTCGAAACCATATTTTTTCCGTAATAAAGTCTAAAACATCTCTGTGTAGTAAATAAGATGCTCATAATAATTAAGCTATTTTTGGAACAAGTTGGTCTTTAAATGGCCGTTTTAAATCTAAGTATATCGACTAGCGTTTACTTGATCCCATGAAGGTACACTACATCTTATGTTAAAGAATTCTTATGGTTATTTTACCAGAGTGAATAGGATTTTGTGGGTAACTATCTTGAAAAAACAAACCTTTCATGATCATATAGACTATATATCCTGTGCTTACAGTTCTCATGTAATCGATAAAATAACTGAGACAATCGTATCAAGGAACCAAGTTTATTTAGCACGAAGACTGGAGTAGCATGTTTTTCATTTATATCGTTACTAGTCATTGTTCGAATTAGTCCGCATTGTTGATACTCAGAATCGAATATTTATCAGTCTTTGTTAGCATATGCACACCATATACAGATTGTCTTACAGCAATATAAACATTCTCGTTCAAAAACCTATTAGGTATCTGCAACCAGTAGTTCTGTGCGTAACGGGTTGAAATGTGAGGTGAAAGTTACTTCATTCCAGTGCGAATATGAAAGTCAACATTGAGATGCGGGTACATTCAACTGACAAGTCACAATTAAACTGAAATTCGCGTCTTTGGTTCCAATATTAGCCTTATTCTATTCTAGCTATTATGTAGAATGGTATGCGATTTAAAAGGCTACTTCGTACTACTACTTTCAGTGTTACTAATCATTCAATCGTCTATCCAGAAAATGCTATTTTATTTATTTATTTATTTATTTGAACACATGAATATTGGTACAAGAGAGCGCCAATATATATGCGCCACAAAAAACATTGAGAATTCGAAGAGAAATAGAAAAAAAACTAAGGAGCGCAAAAGAAAAAGAGAACAATAACGAAGAGATTGGTTTAAGGTAGTGTGGTAGTAACGAGGGAACGGAAAGGTACAATCAGAAGAAATCTTTCAGGTAAGGGAGACACAACCACTTTTTATGAAGAAAGTGAAAGAAGGTTACAGCAGGATCGCCACTGGCTTCTATTCTGAGCCATATCTGATAACGTCTCTAGCCACTGTGTAGCACCATCTCTCAGACCCCAACCAGGGAGTCGTGAAGGACCGACAGAAGCCAGTCCTTTGCAGCTTTCTTTCATACCACGACACCATGTCATGCACTGACCACCTCTCCGCTTCTTCCAACCAGTCCCAGAGTCGGCAAATAATGCACGACGTGGAATTCTCTGGGACGACATTCGTAGAACATGTCCAAGCCACCGAAGTCGGTGTTTCAAGATGGTGACACCAATTGGATTATCATCTCTGTGCCCGAACACACGATGCCGAACCTCTGCATTACTGACATGGTGTTGCCACTGAATGTCAGCAATCCTTCGGAGACAGCGATGATCGAACACAGAGAGTCGTCTAACGTCCTCAACTCGGAGAGGCCAGGTTTCACAAGCATAGAGCAAAACTGCTCTCACCGACGCGTTGTAGATCCGACCTTTTACAGCCAGACTAACATCACGAAGGCGCCAAAGATGGCCCAGATTGGCATAAGCCGCTCTGGCTTTCACTATACGTGCATTGATCTCATCACTCACACCCCCACCAGCACTTATGCAGCTACCCAGATACACGAACTTCTCGACTACGTCTATCTGCTCACCATCCAGGGTGAGTACAGGATTGGAATCCTGCCAGTCTTGTAGAAGTACTTTGCACTTCGAAGGTGCAAAGCACATACCATACCTACGGACACTGATTGCCAACTGATTAAGTGCGGATTGCATGCCTTGGGCATTATCGCACAGTAAGACAATATCGTCCGCATACTCAAGGTCGAGAAGTCTTTCTCCAGGCAACAGATCCACACCACCATTACTTACATTCATCAGAGCTGTTTCCAGAATGTCATCGATGGCAAAGTTGAAGAGGAATGGTGAGATTGGGCAACCCTGCCTAACCCCACTGCTCGAATGGAACAATGGAGAGAGGTGGTTGTATGCCCTCACTCTGCCTGAGGTGTTTGTATATAGGGCTTTTAGGATGTTAATAAACTTCTCAGGCACACCCTTCTTCAATAGACAATCCCAGAGAACAGTCCTGTCCAACGAATCGAAGGCAGCCCTGATGTCAAGAAACACTACGATTGTTGGCCTTTGATAAGTATGGCGGTGTTCTAACATTTGGCGGAGGGTGAAGATATGATCAATACATCCTCGACCAGAACGAAACCCAGCCTGCTCCTCGCGAGTCAATCTTTCTCGGGTTTTGAACAACCTACGAAGTATGATGGGAGCCAATAGCTTGGACGCAATCGGAAGTAGACTTATCCCCCGATAGTTGTCGCAGGAACGACGTGAATCTAACTGCACATAACCGACTGTTAATGGGGATCCAATCGATTAGTGCTGCCTCAGCTCTAGCGCTTAGTGCGACACCAACGCCAGCAAGACCAGACGAAGATGCCACAGGGTCCCCGGATAAGCGCACGTAAAACAAGCTTTTTGAAGCTACAGGAGGAGAGTGAATTTGTAGTACTTCGCCAGAGTCTTGAATACGGGTCTCGGATAGACAACAAACATCAATATTAAGACTTTCCAAAGACATAGCCAGCCCTATCTGTTGTCCGACCTGCATAAATGTGCGAACGTTGAAGGCAGCCAGTTTGAATGGTGCACGTGTTTTCAGGAAAACTGCTTCAGTCCTCGTATTCAGTGGTGACATACAATTTTCAACCGGACAGTGACTCGAGAACGTTTAGATAGAGTCGAATTTCCACCAAAGACGAGGCGCTGTATAAGTATAAAAGAGGGTGAATAATGTGGAAAATAATAATAATAATGATAATAATAATAGTAATGATAATGACAATAATAGTAATAGTAATAATAATAGTATTAATAATGACAATAATTGTAATGATAATAATTTGAATCAATTGATTGTTTTTCGAAGTAAGAAAAGTAATTTCCATAGACATAAAGAGTTCATCATTTGTGGGCCAGGCTATTTTAGTGACAATAAGCTGAAAAAAACACTTCTTATAAATTAATTATCGATTTAGCCTGTTGCATTCTGCGATCTACATAACTGAGGAATTGAAGTAGTCTTTTTTATAATATAAAATTTATACGTCCTGATATGAGGGTAGTATTAATGACCATGAAATATAAAACAAAACTGCCTTTATTCAAAGTATATTTGACTCATATGATCAGTATGGTAGAGTTCTCATTTTATCTTACGACTAAGCTGATATTTAAAAAGATTCACTAATATTCATTAAATTTTATGCATTATTATGGGGTTAGGATTAATTTATAACTGTATCATTCGGTACATAACTGTCTGGCATTGTCCATTCACAACGTTTAACCTTTAGACTTCTAAGTTGCCATCCACTGGTTTACATTTTTAAATTCAATTAATTCTCTATGTTGTGCGACCATCATCCAATGTCATTGGTAGGTGAGTGCTTTCGTCCCGACATGAGTGAACTCCATCGGTCATGATTTCTTACTAGGCGTCTTGGAATTACCACTCGAAATTAGTCGCTAATGTGAACATGGTGATAATAATAATTATTATTATTACTATCATTACTATTATTACTATAGACTGACACTTGGGTTCTCAATTAGCTGGTAGTTTGATTGGATTATTTTCCTTTTTCGTGCACACCGCTGTCAAATGGACCATTTACTCGTTTTCATAAGCCTTGAATGGATTTATTGTAGTCCATGAGCCGGTCCAGTCACTTCTACGTCCCTGATGCTTGATTAACTTATCTTGTCGTGCAAAAAGGTCAAACTATCAAGGAAGCTCTGTTATTAATAATCAACCAGTAATTTTTACAGCTCATATATATTTGTGGGTTACCTGATTGACATGGTGCTTGTAGGAAGTGGTGACCTTTCCTAGGTAAATAATTCACTTACTCGTAATAGCCTACTCAAACAAACATCCTTTTTACTATTTGAACTTGAAATAGTATTGGTTCTGTTTGGTTTATCCTGGGATATCAGGATTGGTCGTACTATGTGAAGTTCTTCAGGTCAGTAATTGAGTTAAATTGTGGTACTGCTTTTTACTTTGGTATGTTTAGTGGTTGAGGATAGTTATCTGGAAATCCTGAACCTTGATTTTGTGCGAGTTGGACGTCATCAGTAAGATACCTTAGATCTTCAATGAATTGATGCTGTCTATGAGCTCTGAATCGGAGTCACTGTTTTGGAATATAGGATGATATTACCGATTTGTTCAGAGCTCAAAATACTTAATATCAAAACATGTTGCACGCCGTGTCGAGTCACTTAGATTAGTGACTAAATTTCAACTTAATTGATAAAATTCGATTAAAACTGAAGGACAAGAGGAAAATGACATTGGTCACTGATCAGTCGATTGATTGTGTACATCAGGTTTGATAAAGTTCATAACTTCTAGACTATAGGTAGAGTTTCAAACCTACAGATATTCATTCATGACAATGATGTTGTGAATTAGTTTAAACCCTGGTGTTTAAGATCATTCGTTTCACATGAGAAGCTACTATTTACCACAGCTTGTTATATTGGGTTAATTAGTATTGAGAGTTTAAGGAGAATGCCTTAAGAGTGTCTATCCAAACACATACCAGTAATCAATCAAGCCAGTAAATTATTAGTTTGTGAACTACAGAAGCACCCTATATAATTTTATTTATGGGGTGAACAAAATTCGTATTTTGGGACGGATAAGATAACATGGACCGAAATCAATTATATTGGAACAGATAAATACATTCTTTGTTAGGTCGTTTGAGTCAATTGACAAGACACTACGCATCTAGGTTTTGCGCTAGTTGAAACTTGTCCTACAATCTTGAGATAAGTGGTGCTTCCAGTAGTGAAGTTCAAATCCTCGTTACAGTTTGTCTTGCTACCACTCAGCCATTGAGGCCACAACATACATTCTTTTTCTTTAAAAAAACCCATATACATCTCATTCTCGTCTATTTCTTCGGCTTACAGGTTTTGAATGGTAGTTCAGTGGTTGGCTTATTACAAATTCGAACTCCACTCCGTTTTGCTTGTGCGATTCAATATAGGTATCATTAATCTTTGCATACAGAATCAATAACACAGTTATTTCAAATCATCTAACTCCTTGATCCATAAATTTCGGTTAATTAGTAATAACAAAATTAAAGAATTTAGGCAGAATCATGCAATAAAATATTACCATTTCTCGAAAATAATTCATTATGATAGATATAGCAATACTAATAACAACACTATCATACGTTGTTATTGTACTAAACAGGAATGTTATATATACTTGTTTAAAATAAGGAAGAATTTCTTTTCTTTTTTTTGAATGGAATTTATCAAGTTACTACTGAATAAAGAAAAGGTACAATGATTACGTTCAACTAAAGTATATTCACACCCTTTGATAAACATAAGGTCGTCCCATCTACTCTACGGATCGAATTGATGACGTAAAGTTCATATTTTGCCCCTTGACCTTGAACTTAATCCTCTCACCATTGACCTCTTCCAAATGTATATCGTCCTTAATATACTTGGAATTTATTACCTTATACAATTATTATTTTCATAGATTGAAATCATGAGTCAGTTGAACCTAGACCACCATGGAAAACCTGGAAGCACTGGACGGCCGTTTCGTCCTAGTATGGGACTCCTCAGCAGTGCGCACCCACGATCCCGCACCCCACGGGATTCGACTGACTCATGATTTCAATCTGATTAATATGACGTGATATTTCTCTTATCGTATTACAGTTATTTGATTTTAGTTTACTGTTTACTACTCACTATCGTAAATGATTTTCTTTTTGTAAGTATAGGAGATAGTTGAACTTCATTCAAATCCTGAACCGATCTAATTTTGACCAATATTAAAAACCTGGAAGTACTGGATGTCCATTTTTTTTAGTATGGGACTCCTTAGTAATACATATTCACGACCTTACTTACAGGATATGAAACCAGGGCCTTCGGTCTCGCTCGTCAACCCCTTTACCTCTAGACCGGTGAGGTGGTGTCCATCGATGTTAATGTCTAAGTGTAGTCGATCCAAGATATCGAGTGACTATCTTCGATTGTTTTCTGTGAACATCTGCCTCACACACGACATGGTTAAGTTTAATTGGTCAGGGCTTCTCACTAGAACCCCGCCCGTCCAGTTTATTCAGGTTTTCAGTGGTAGTATATATATATATATATATATATATATATATATATATATATATATATATATATATATATATATATATATTCAGGTGGTGGCCAGCACGAATGCGACAAATTCCATCATTCCTTTCGTTTGTTTGCAGTCGCCTTAAATAAGGGAAAATCACTTTGAATTAGTAACTACATTTCACATTCAAATCGATAGAATTCAATGAAGACTAAGTGTAAGCATGGAATTTTTTACTATTTTTGTAGTCAATTAGTTTTGATATTTAATCGTACAGCGGATCAGTTGTAGACTAAATAGCTTGGAGTTAGCTCCTTTATATATGACACTAAGTAACATGGATTCAACTCTATGGAATAATATTAAATTCCTCGAAATTACAGATACACTTTACTAACTAGTGCTAAATAGCGTAAATGTCAGGTCCAATGTGGGTTGTTAATGACCGCTTTCAGCCACACCACCTAAAAAAACCATTAGACTTTTCAGTGTTTGAACAAGACTTTCCGACAAATATTATCATCATGAAGTTGGATGTAGTTGGAATTAAGTAGATAGTTGTTGAACTATAAAGCAAAACAGCACCAACTACCTTTTTTCAGTCCCATAATCTTTCTGCTCCATACACTTTTTATAGCATACAATATGTATAATGCGTCCCTACATAATACTAATAAGGTATACGTATGTGTCCAGAATGACATGTGATTGATCAGGAATTGAAAACAGACTTATCCGGCTACATTATATAAGAGACTCTTTTATATTGTAAAATGCATCTCACTTTGATACTGCTTACTACTCTGTATTGCATATTAGTGGTAAAGTTTTGTTCTGGTCTATAACTGGTTTTCACCAAACGGTCAACTTATTGAATTCAAATGTGTCACGTGACAAAGGGAGAGAGAGAGATAGAAAGCACTCAAGCGATATCGACTTATCACTTGAACCCAACCAAACTTTTCATGTTTAATTATTGAATACCTAGTAATTTGTCTTTATTTTTGTTTTATTCTGTAATAGGTCGTTACTTGCAAATGATGAGACTTTTAAAGCCGATTGCTGGTGAAGTAATGCATTGTCTATGTCAAGTATTTGATTATTATTTGTACTCTGTAAGTAGAAAGCGATTATTTAACAATAAAAATATATTTTTTTTTACTCACTGAATGGTTGCCAGCAACTTGGGACAGTTTTTTCGAACCAAAGCTATCGCTCTGGTTGATGCTCAATACGACTGAGGGATTCGAGTCGTTATCAACCTCCTGTAGATATGAGGTGTTGACACTGAATGATTGTGAGAGGGCAATCCCTAGTGCTTATTGAATCAGGTGGGAATCACGAATTCCCTTAAGATCGTATGCACTCGGCACAAAACCTAATAACAAGGTTTCTCATTGATCACCTCCAAACAACTGAGGATAAAAGATATAATACACATGACTTGGAGTCACTGAAAATGGTAATCGTATTTCAGTTTGATCAAAAAAAGATGGATTAGCGCTAAAGAGCTAAACAAACATGACATTGGTTGCAAATCAGTAATTAATAATTTTATATTGAGATCCCGAACCAACTTAAGTTAGGTAACTATTCAAAACCTAGATGGATTAGACAGATGGTTCATCTTAGTATGGTACTTCTCAGCAGTGCGCATTCACAAATCTGCTACCGGAGACCAGACTTAGCACCTTCGGTCTCATGAGCTAGCGTTTAACCTATGAACAACTAAATCAAGCGCCTATGGTAGACAAGTTTAATTCCATTCAAACGTGAGTTATGCGTAGTCATCATCCATTATCTTCACTGATCACCTTCCTCAAATCCGATACGGTTAAACTCCACTAGTCACGGTTTCTCCCTAGAACTCTGTAAATTTACCCTCGAAGCTATTCCCTTGTGAGCACATGATTATTGAAGTGTTTACGTCGTGTAGGTGTACCGTTGAGAAGTCCCATGATAGAATGAAATAGCTGTCCAATATGGTTCCAGGTTTCCAATGGTTGTTTAACTTCGATTGGTTTACAATTCCACTGAAGTTCAGCAGTCTCCGCAATCCCCATACTAATAATAACTTTATATTTTTCAGTATTTGTCTTCTTTCTGTTTAGTGTTTCACATGTTATGACATTCTGCTGTCTAAACAGCGATTAGGGCATTTTATCAGGAATTCAGTTTGGTGTACTAATATAATTTAACTGAAATACGTGGAAGAGCGAAAAACTCTGCAAAAGAGGAAAATATATTACCACCATTGAATCAACTACTTCTGTGAATTCCGTGTTCGTCTTGTTGTGCTAACGAAATATGGCAACTTGGATCGATGCATGTATGTTCATGGTCCTACGATGTAACTGACTGACTGACTATATGATACAACGAAGAAACTAACAGGAAAATATAGTGAACCAAGTAAATCAAGGACAAGGAAGGCAAACCAATCACCGAGATTCAAGAACAAAGGAACAGATGGGTAGAATACTTCGAGGAACTCGAGAATAGACCAGCTTCACTGAAAACACTGGACATAGAAGCAGCACACAGATCTTTATATAGATGTCACTCCACAAACGACAGAAGAAGCCAGGATGGCCATCAGACAAATCAAGAGTGAGAAAGCAGAAGGACCTGACAATATACCAACTGAATCTCTGAAGTCAGACATAGAGGCAATTGGAAACGTGATTCACGCTCTATTCAGGGAGATTTGGGAAGAAGAACAAGTGCCAACAGACTGTAAAGAAGGACACTTCATTACGATAGCAAAGAAAGGAGATCTGAGTAAATGTGAAAACTACAAAGGATTCACACTACTATCAGTACCAGGAAACGTTTTCAACAGAGTGTTGCTGAGTTGGATGAAAGACGCAGTAGATGCGCAACTTCGAGACCAGCAGGCTGGATTCCGTAAGGATCAGTTGTGCACGAACCAAATCGTGACCCTACGCATCACTGTTTAACAATCAGTTGAGTGGACCTCGTCACTTTACATTAAATTCATTGACAATGAGAAGACGTTTGACAGTGTGGATAGGAGAACATTATGTAAACTTTTTCTATACTATGGAGTCACTGAGAAGATCGTCAACATCATCAAGAGTTCATCTGATGGACTACAATGCAAGGTGGTGCATGGTGGCCGGCTGACAGATGCATTCCAAGACCGGAGTCAAACAAGGCTGCCTACTCTCACCATTTCCCTTTCTTCTGTAGGTCGACTGGATTTGGGAAGACCTCGACATCTGAGGGAAAGCACGAACCACAATGGACAGCTCAGAACCAAGTAGACGATTTGGACTTCGCAGATGGCCTGGTTCTTCTATGCGATACATATAAACATATGCAGATGAAGACAACTGGTTTAGCAGCAATCTCTTCTTCAGTAAGCCTCAACATACACAAGGGAAAAAGCAAGGTCCTCAAATACCACACGAAGAACACCAACTCAATGGAGAAGCTCTGGAGGATGTGGAATCTATTACATACCTGGGAAGCACCATCGATGAACAAGGGGGATCTGATGCAGACGTAAAGACGGAAATTGTCAAAGAAATGATGGAAAAGTGGAAGGCCGAAGAACACATACGTCGAGAATTGGAAGCAGACATGAAAAGGATGAATAGCAACTGGAAACGATTGCCCAGGACAGGGTTGGATAGAGAGACCTGGTGGGTGGCCTTTGTTTGTCGACGAGGGGTAACAGACGTTAGTAAGTAGGTAAGTACGTATGTATGTCTCCAGCACTCTTTATATAATTAAGGAACATACATCCAGATAATGAGATCGTAAACTTTCATTGACTGGAAGTATGTGTTGTATACATAGTGAACCACCATATATTCAAATGAACAATATTGCATGGGTTACGGTTATGTTGAACAGATGCTAAGATCAAAGTATATGACACTTTGGTTAAATTGTTCATGGAATGAGATTTCCATGATTGGACCTTATGTTTGAGCCTTTCTCTGTCTACTGTTGCCTGAATGTCATATAGTATCAAATAATCCTTAATTGTAAAGATCAGTTTAAAGTCAAGTTACCCCGAACTTATAAATCGATTAGTAAGATGACGATAATTCACAAAGTTATACTGATTACTTAGTGTTTGTACAAGCAAGATGTATTTATTTCTGAAAACAATCGTAAAATCAGTAGTTCATATATTTAGGGTTTTTGATACAGTTCAATATTGAACAACACTGGGTTTACCAATTGAATGATATACAGTTTATTCAATATTTAACGACTTAATAGAGTTTAATTTTAGTGAAAACAAATCTTGATAAATTATGATTTTATTAAGTATATAATATAATCATATAAGTTGTGTATACTTATAGAAATTTTATGTTTCTATAAAATGCATTTTATGGATTTCTTTTTCATAAAATTAATTCCCATTTCTAGATTCTTAATCTATTTGGTCCTATTCAAGTAAGTGTGTGAATTTGACATCATTCTTCTCTTTTCATCGTGTATAAGTGATCATTTATTAATTGCTGTGTTCCTCTTTTCTTAAATATGTGTGCCCTGGTACGGCCGAGGCTGGAAAGAGTCAGCTCTTCCTCTTGAAATGCTCTCACATTACCATACGTATACTGCTACTGCCAGAAATGCCCTGCCCACTTCCTTCTCGTGGCGGGGGTGTTGTTCACGAAGTTGAGAGAACGGAAAGCGAATGTCCGGTGCCTTAACCCGGTTGTTGGATACCGAAGATACATCTAACAGAGTTTGAAAACTGATTCCAAACAAATGGTGCACATGGGCTCCAGGATCCTGAGGGAACAAATAGTTTGGGAACCTATTGTTGATCACTGGCTACCATGGGGCTGCATCTCTCAACCTCGCTCCACTGTCTTATGGATTATACCTCTAGGTTAAAGGCTTGGAGAGTGTCCCCTTAAAAAACCAGGTGCTTTGGTTTTGGCGCGCGAGCAGTATTCCAGCCCTCACAAAAACCAAATGACTTGTGTGACGCATATATATTTGGTGCCTCCCTGTACCAATGTCTATGTGTTTACATAAATTATAAATTATTGATTATCTGAAGTTGTTATTTTACTGTAATTGTTTTAGTTGAAATTATATGTACACTGTTTTCAATGTTCAATAAGTCTGTTGTATCTAACACTTTTAACATGATGGATGAATATCATAAATATAAAGAGAATTATATTAAAAGCGCTGGATACAACACACTCATTGAACATTGAAAACATTGTGCAAAACCTCATCTATTATAGTTGTTACATAACTTGAATATCTATAAATAAAAGAAAATGTAATATTATAATAGTCAGATTTATATCGTTAACCATTAGACTATAAATCTGATGTTTGATAGAAAGAGTATCCTAATTTATCATTAAATTAATTCACGTTGTTATTAGATGATGAGGGTAGAAGTTTACTGATTTCCATGTCTTACCACGTACGTCCAAGTGATCTGAGTAAAATCCTATTGAGTAATTTACCCTGTTTTTGAACCAGTTAGCAGCAGTTATCACTCTCTCGTTTTTTCAATTGTATTTCTTAAATGAAACTCTGGTTTAATACTATTCGATGTCAATTTTCATTACTTGTCGATGTCATCTGAGAGAACCACCAAAAACTGAAGAACATTGAATCATGTTTATATAGAACGGAAGTAATGTGATTCGAGATTAACCCAAGACATCCGTTTCGCCCCATTTGTGACTCGTCAGCTCGATGTACCTGCACCTCAGTACCTTTCGTTTCAAACGTCGTACGCGCTTTCCACTTAGATACTACGTTGAGATAGCCAGCAACTCAATTGTGAAATTGGTACGAACGTTAGTTTGTATTGGTTTGAATTACCCCGTTGTAGATATTTCGACTGAAATTTGATTGGTTTTAGTTAACAGTTACAACAACCAGAAGAGTTCCAAATAGAACGAAACGCATTTTTTTGGACTCCGTTACTAGCCACATTACATCTATTATGTATGGATTTGTATCATAATGACTATATCTAAAGAACTTGCTCAGGATCCACGTATACCAACAAAGGCTGTTCAAATTTCAGTTAAACATATCGAAACCGCATGGTCCAAACCCAGTACAAATTAAACTGAATCAGTTTTTTTATCTTCACTGATCACAGTCTAATTAATCAAGTAGGTACACATTTTTTATTCCACTTGCTAACCTTGTTCTCATTTTCGTTGTTGAAAATCATCCAATTTTATTATTACCAAATTAAAAATATTAAATGTTTCTTTTCATTTCCTCTATTAGGTATCAAATTCATCTGAATTTCCAGAACGTTTACGGACAACAATAAAACGTATCAATGAACGTTTAATAACAACTGATAATCATCAAAGTATTTTAACCGGGGTTAGTTAGTTAATCAACGAATGCTTTTTACGTTTCATACTGTTTTCCATTATTATTAATTTCCCCCACTCTTTTTCATTCTCTCAACGTTTTGCTTTACGCTTGTTTAGTTTATTAAGTTTTTCATGTCTTTTTGATTATATTTCGTTTCATTTGAAAAGTCTATATTGTTACGTAACTTCTTTTATGTACAATTAATAATTTTAGTCTTTATTCAGCTAATGAATATACTTCATCTCTTAACAAAACTACACCTTCCCTCACGTCCCAGTGTGAACACTGGAATGTGATGAGCACATCCAGCTGACGAGCACCAAATGGGGCGAAATGTGCGTTCCGAGCCGCTTCATTGAGGTACTAGTAACTAACTGAAAGTATTGAAAAACCCAAAAACGCATAGAATATCAAATTCACCCATTGACCTATAAATATACCCCTGTTTCCTGTGCGCAAACTAACCTTGGAGGTAAAGCTTCTTTTCATACTTCCGGACCTTTATCTTTATCTTGAAGTTCAAGAACTGGGGAACCTAAGGAATTAGCGGCATTTAGAATGTTACTATCAAGTGTTCAAGTACTAGATGTATCATATTTGATAAGATCAAATACGTAACACTAGGAATACTGAAGTTTACTGACCAAAAATGTCAGTTCGAATTCCTTTGTACTTCATCTATTCTTTTAGCTAACTTATCAGAGGTCTATAATTTGTGTGCTTCAAAATCCTTCTTCGGTTTGAGCAGGCAGGTTACGTCATAATCTCTCACATACAAACACACTATAGACTGTAACTCAATGTCGATACGTGGACTGTGCTGAGTTATTAAGGTTTGTATGTAGTGAGTTGATTAATTTTTTCCTAACTTAAAACATTCTAAGTATAGGGTTTTGTGGAAATTGTAGAACATTCAGTCTAAACCACAAACTGATCTTAGCTACACCCTCAATGAAAATCTGAGAGGATTATACAGATGTTTTATCCCGAAATGGGACTCTCCATTAGTGAGCAACCAGGATCCTGGCACCAGAAATTTAACCCAGGATCTTCAGTCTCACGCGCGAACACATACTAGGATGAAACGACCGTCCAGTGCTTCCAGGTTTAAATGGTGGTTTATTTGAAATCAGTTCGTGATTTGAGCTTTGAGGATTCTTGAGACGTTCTTTTGTACAAATATTACTGTATACCATAATTCAATTCATTTTTAGGTTTATTTTTATTTTTTCAATAATTACATTGCTGTAGGATCGATTTTCCCTTCCTTTGCATGGACCTATTGAATTATTGCATACATTAAATCCTACTGACAATAATCCGACAATCGGAGATGATAATATTAATAAACGTGAACACCAATTAATACAAATTTACGTCGTCGCAGTTGAGTCAGTTATTTTCCTAGCAGACATTTTAGAGACAGTAAGTTCACCATTATAATATTTATTTCTATGAACTTGTCACTTTGATTATTGTTTGCGATAGAGAACGACCGTGAATTAAGTTTTGATAGAATTCGATGTTATTAGTTGACATATGACCTGGAAAATTTTTTACTTTAAACCCGCTTTCAATGTTTCGTTTGGATAAATATCTATCATAGATTAAATCACGCATTGACCTTTGTTGGATTACTATTGAAAACCTTGAAGCACGTCGGATAGCTGTCTTGGCCTAGTGTTGGAATCCTCAGAAGTGTGTATCCGCGGCTCCGCCCCTAGATACCGAACTCAGGACCTTCACTATCACACACGAGATCATAGCCCTTAGTTCACTGAACTAAAATCCAGTGGTGTATATGTATATCCATCAGTCAATCTAAGTATTTCTGACGATTTGTCACTTAAATGTGTGTCTGTTCATAGGTTGTGGTATTACACAAATATGTGCTTGGTAAACGAGCTACTCAAAGACAGGGTTAATACGGCTTTTTCCTATTTACTTTTTTTGAAGGAAGTCAAACCAATGCATGCTTAGTAGTTATTTAAGTGATTATTATTATTATTAATTGTTCTGAATGTCAAAAACTTCTAAATACATATCAGTAATGTATTGTTTTAAGAAAACAAAAGCAAAAGTAATACACTTTCGGGTAATATATTCTTCCAGGTTCTTCTTCCGCATTTAACAGCATGTCTTCCAGATAATAAACGTGGTCTAGCACTTGTATTTCGTGAACAGTCTTTGATGGCAGCAAGACAAATCCGCGAACCATGTGCAAACGAACTGGCACCACATTTGCTGAATATCATAATCGCAAAGTAAGTTGGTCGTGTGTGAATTATATTTATGTATCACGAACAATGTGAGTTTGGATTTTTTTCACTTCCCAATTGCTCACACCATAAAATGATACTCATTTCTGAGGTACCTGGAGGAGAAACTGAACTATTGCTTCTGACCTTAGCAGCTCAGAAGCGTCACAAAAGTAGTATCCAAGGTACAACTACGTGAAGGTCATCACACGGAGAACATTTTGAGAGTCCTAGAGGTGCGTTAGCCTGAACTCGGACGACGAAAATTCGTGCAGTAAGTTTTGTTACTTTCAGGACCTGTTTTTTTCTATTTTTATTTTTTATATGAAGACAATAACATCTCTGGTGATACAATATTGTCCGAAGGAAATTCCTTACTGGCGTCACAACCTAGTATAGTCAGTAGTAAAAATCCACCAACGTGCCTCAATTATTTTTTTAGTTTTAACATTCTCCAACTGAATTTCCGTGTATGGTAGGACTCAAACAAACAGGAGTTCCATCCAATTAGCTGGATTTTGTCACTATGATATATATAACTAAACGTTTTGTTGACTTAAAGTTTTAAAATAAGTTTGACCATCTATATAAAAAACGGAACTAATCCACTCTTACTTGGGATTATTCTAACCATATAGCTATCTGTAACTAACAAGAACTATTTACTAGCCAAATTTATCAAAGATTTAAATTCGAATTGTTATAACCATAAAAAATTCGTTTTTCTATCGCTTTAGAATGACTGGTGTGGCAACAAAAAATTGTAAGCAGTTAACAGCAACAAATAGTGCATCGATTACTTCAAGTTTCAGTAAAATATGGCCAATAGGATCCAATACAAATCAGCAACAACAAACTATCGACAAAGAACCATCTATTCCAAATAATAATAACAGTACAAGCTCACCATCTCCATCATCAGTACATAACAACTTAATTGTATCAACTTCTTCCTATTCAATTGACATATTAACTATGCATATATGTGCAATGAATTGGTCAACTAAAGAAGTGGCTAACACACCAAATCCATATGTTTATGATATAAATATTAATGTATTTCATCCTTTATCATTAATTTTACAGAACATATCAAAAGAATTTCATTTACAAGACCATGTATTTATGATTGTTATTTGGAAAGCATTATTATCTTGTTTGGCATCACAATTACTTGAAGCTTTAAGTCGTGTACAACAATGTTCAGATGAAGGACGTGGTCAAATGTTATTAGACATACAAACTTTAGCTGTATACGCTCAATCCGCTAGTAAAATACGGTATGTTTAAAACGCAAAATTCAATTTGATAAATAGTCTTTAATTGCTAAATTATACGAATCCTAATTTAAAAATTCAACAATTCTTTCTTGTAGTGAATTACTCGATAAAAATTGCGAACTTCCAATGTTTTTTTGTCGAATCGATTAAACCTCGTGACCATTTAGCCAACTAAATAAGTTTTATGCATCCCAGCGGTTAACTTCAAGGTAGGGATGATGAGTCATGACTAATAGAGTTCAGTCATATCTGTCGGTAGTGAAATTGTTACCACCAATGATATTGAACGATGATTGTGCTACATAGGTAACTGGCTAGAGTTAGAAATATAGACAATTGAGTTACAACTTATCATTCTAAGGGTAATCCCCTCGCCTCGACACCTAAACCCCTTGTGTTTGATTCCTGATCAAGAGGTATTAACTGAAACTCAACACATTCCTTGAGTTAACTTTGATGGTATTGTCCTTATTATCAGGAACACAAAAGTAAAGTATAAAATTATTTGCATATCAGTAAATCATTTGGAAAGACATAAATTTCAGCTACTTCCAACTGCTAAAATCATTCTACTGAATTTATTCGGAGTTTAATTAGTACACACATCACATCGCTATTAATTAAAAATAGACTACTACTAGCATCAGTCAGTCAGTCAATTACAATGTAGTACCAGGCACGTACACGTATCGGTTCAAGTTGCAACACCTCATTAGCACAACAAGATGGTCACCAAATTTGTAGAAGTAGTTACTTTAGTAGTGGTAATATATCAAAAAAAGATTGCATATGAAGATATAATACAAGAATAAAGAAAAAGTTCACAGAAAGAAAGGTATAAATTAATTTTAGCCTCACGGTACGGTCGAGGGTGCGGAGAGTAAGCTTCTTTCGAAATGCTCTCCAACGATGACTTATGGCAACATAGTCTATTTCAGTCCACCGTTGGCTTGGTGCAGGGAGTCACCACGTCAGACAATGTCTCTCCTTGTACTTAAGATTAGTGATTGCTAAAAATAAACGATTGTCTGCGCACAGTTGCAGTAGGCGATCACTATTATCTGTTCGCTGAGCCGGAATACTAAAATACCCACTTAAATGTCTTTCTGCTTGGTTTGAGCTACCTACTAGGGCATTAAAGTCACCTGCTACGAGTACTGTCTGAGTGTTTAGCTTTTTGAAGAAGTTGAGAAAGCTTTCTGTAAAATTCATCTTTCATTTCATCCGGGCTATAGTCAGTGGGAGCGTAGGCAGAAATGATGAAAAGGCGACGACGCGTGTCCCTGTCCTTCCGAGTTCTTACGGAGCAGTTTAGCCGAACAGCATGTAAGCAATTGTTAACGGAGATCCATTCTAATAGTGCTTCTTCTGCCCTTATACTTAGTGCTATATTTACACCCACCAGTCCACCAGAACTTGCTCTCGGGTCGCCAGATACGCGGAGGGTGTATCTCGTCGGCTCTCCGTTTTGGCGAAGTGAGGTTAAGTGAACGAATGCACTAGAATCCTGTATGCGTGTTTCTGAGATACAAAATTCTAGGGTCTTAGCCAAGAAGGCCTGCTGGTCGATTTGCCACAGGGAGCGTACGTTGAAGGCTCCAATGTGTAGTTTGGAGAGAGGTTTCAGTACACCTTAAACAGTGTTTTGCGCACTAAAATCATTGGCCATGGTGACACTGGAGGAGGAAGTATAGAGTTGATAGTCGAGGTAGGGGGAGTAATGGAATCAAATAGGGAGATTGACTATAAATACAGTGATCTTGAATGTTTTTAGAGGTGTGAAGGCGGTCATCACTTCCCGGTCGCCCACACCGTGGAAGGGTCCTTCTAGAGTTACCTGAAAAGGAAATTGGGTTAGTGGTGGTCTTAGTGACCTGAGAGCATGACCGCAGTGGCCAAGAAATAACTATTTGAGGTCAGTCATATACGACGTTTTCGTGTTAGTTCTGTACTTGTTGCCCCCCAAATGCCCTGGTATGGCCTAGAGTAGGGTGGGCCCGCCCTCCCTCTCGAAATGCTCTCACACGGCCACGCGTACACAGCCTCTGCCAGAGAAGTCCTATTCACTGCCTTCTCGTGGTGGGGGTGTTGTTTACGAAAATGAGAGGACGAAAAGCGAGTGTCCGGCGCTTTAACTGGATCCCAAACCAATTGCGCAGATGGGCTCCAGTATCCTGCGGGAACAAATGGCGTATGAACCAATCGTTGGTCACCGGCTACCATGGGACTGCATCTCCTTACGATGCTCCACTGCCTTGTGGGTCAGACTTTTAGGTCAAAGGCTCGGGGTGTGGCCTCTTAAGAAAACCACCTGCTTCGGTCTGGGCACCCGGCAGTACCACACTTACTTACCTACTTACGCCTGTTACTCCTCGTGAAGGAGCATAGGCCGCTCACCAGCATTCTCCATCCAACCCTGTCCTGGGCAATCCTTTCTAGCTCCGTCCAGTTGTAATTCATCGTTTTCATATCTGCTTCTATTATCCGACGCAATGTGTTCTTTGGCCTTCCTCTTTTTCGCTTCCCTTCAGGGTTCCAAGTTAGGGCTTGCCTCGTGATGCAGTTTGACGATTTGCGTAATGTATGTCCTATCCATTTCCATCGTCTTTTCCTAATTTCTTCATCTGGAAGTTGGTTTGTTCTCTCCCACAGAAGGCTATTGCTGATGGTATCCGGCCAATGGATGTTGAGTATCTTGCGTAGACAGCTATTTATAAATACTTGTACTTTCTTGATGGTGGTTGTTGTAGTTCTCCAAGTTTCAGCTCCATACAGTAGAACTGCCTTGACGTTCGTATTGAAGATTCTCACTTTGATATTGGTTGAAAGTTGTTTTGAGTTCCATATGTTCTTCAATTGTAGGAATGCGACCCTTGCTTTGCCGATCCTCGCCTTTACGTCTGCATCTGAACCTCCTTGTTCATCGATGATGCTTCCTAGGTATGTGAAGGACTCTACATCTTCCAGAGTTTCGCCATCAAGAGTGATTGGATTGCTGTTTTCCGCTTTGAATTTGAGGACCTTGGTTTTCCCTTTGTGTATGCTGAGGCCTACTGATGCAGAGACTGCTGCTACACTGGCTGTCTTCATCTGCATCTGTTCGTGTGTACGTGATAGGAGGGCTAGGTCATCTGCGAAGTCCAAATCGTCTAATTGATTCTGAGCTGTCCATTGTATCCCGTGTTTTCCTTCAGATGTCGAGGTTTTCATAATCCAGTCGACCACCAGAAGAAAGAGGAAGGGAGAGAGTAAACAGCCTTGTCTGACTCCGGTCCTTACTTGGAATGCATCTGTCAGCTGTCCTCCATGCACTACTTTGCACTGTAGTCCGTCGTATGAGTTCCGGATAATATTGACAATCTTCTCAGGAACTCCGTAGTGTCGAAGAAGTTTCCATAATGTCCTCCTATCCACACTGTCGAATGCCTTTTCATAATCAATGAAGTTGATGTATAGTGATGAGTTCCACTCAATTCATTGTTCGACGATGATCCGTAGTGTTGCAATTTGGTCTGTGCACGACCGATCCTTACGGAATCCAGCTTGTTGATCTCGAAGTTGGGCGTCTACTGCATCTTTCATCCGGTTCAGCAACACTCTGTTGAAGACTTTCCCTGGTATTGACAGTAGTGTAATGCCTCTGTAGTTTTCACATTTGCTCAGATCTCCTTTCTTTGGAATCTTGACGAGGTGTCCTTCTTTCCAGTCCATCGGCACTTGTTCCTCCTCTCAAATCTTTTTGAATAGAAGGTGAAGCATGTCTGTAGTTACTTCGATGTCTGACTTCAGTGCTTCAGTCAGTGTGTTATCGGGTCCTGCTGCTTTCGCGCCCTTGATTTTTCTGATGGCCATTCTAATTCCTTCTTGTCATCTATAGGAAGACCCGTGTTTGCTGCTTCGATGTTCGGTGGATTCATTGGAGCCGGCCTATTCAGGAGTTCCTCGAAGTATTCTACCCATCTGTTACGCTGATGTTGAATTTCGGTGATTGGCTTGCCTTCTTTGTCTTTGACCGGTCTCTCTGGTTTACTGTATTTCCCTGCTAGTTTCTTCGTTGTATCGTGAAGCTGTTTCATATTTCCTTCCTTTGCAGCTTTTTCTGCCGTCGTTGCTAGTTCTATCACACATTTCTTCTTGTCGGCTCTAATGCTCTTCTTCACTTGCTTGTTTGCTTCTATGTATTCAGCTTGTGCTTGGACTTTCTCTGTTCGTGTTCGGCTGTTGTTTATTGCTGCCTTCTTGTTCTTCTTTTCTTTGATCTTGTCCAGTGTTTCTATAGAGATCCATTCCTTATGATGGTGCTTCTTTAGGCCCAGAACCTCTTGACACGTTGAAGTTAATGCTTCCTTGATGCCTTTCCAGTTGTCCTCCGTACTAGTTCCTTCTTCTTTCAGTAGATCTTGTAAGGCTTGGAACCTGTTGTTGAGAGCTATCTTGAATTCATTGAGTTTGTCAGTATCTCGAAGGAAGGCTGTATTGAACCTTTGTAGTGCTGTTTGTCCAGTACTTTTTTAGCTTCAGTTTTAAATTGGCTACAACTAGGTGGTGATCTGAAGCTACGTCAGCACTTCTCCTGGTCCTCACATCTTCTATTGTCCTTCGGAATTTTTTGTTGATGCAAATATGATCTATTTGGTTCTCTGTAGTGTGGTCCGGTGAGATCCATGTAGCCTTGTGTATACGCTTGTGTGGAAATATTGTGCCTCCTATGACCAATTTGTTGAATGCACATAGATTTGCAAATCTTTCTCCATTTTCGTTTCTTTCTCCCAGTCCATGTCGTCCCATAATATCTTCATATCCAGTGTTGTCTATTCCGACTTTGGCATTTAGATCTTCCATCTGAATGGTGAGGTCGTTTCTTGGCACTCCTCTATGATTGACTGTAGCTGCTCGTAGAATTAATCTTTGATGTCGTCGTTGCTATCATTGGTGGGTGCATAACATTGGATAATATTCATTGTGATCCCCTCCTTCTTTGTTTTGAATGATGCTTTGAT